CAACAATACAATTTCGCTTGATTTTCAAAGGCCATAAATCGCTAGAATACGGGTGTTTAGTAATACACTTGACATCCGTAAGTACAATTTCTTACGCTGAATCGAACGGTGTCGCTTTCTTCTCAAAATATAAAGCAGCGCAGCCAAACGTTTAAACGATAGTATAAACTTGCGATTTCGATTTTCGAAGGTTGCTGTTTCCATGCGAAATTCCTTGTAAAATTGTTCAATTTTCCCTAATTTTCCTTAAAATGCAGCGTTATTTATGGATAATTTGGGTGAAATTGTCAGGAGCCTTATGGATAATTGGGGGGAAAATTAGGCAGCTCATTAATATTCTATTTTGTGGCTATCAACGACGATCGGAAATCTGACATCGGAAATCTGACATCCACCAAAAATGCGTGCCGAAACCTATACTCGTCTGGGGCACAGTGCCCCAGCGAGTAAATAGCTGTATATACTAAAAGTATGATGTGAAGCATGCATGCATATTCAAGTATTTCAAAATTAGAATTTACCTATGCAAAATTCCTACTGCATGTGATCACAGAAACTTTGAGAGTGTAAACCATGCAGCCTAAAAGAAGATTATTTAAATATGATTTAGCCTGAATGGCAGACAAGAGAAATCTGTGTGGCTTTTTACAAACTTTAAACAAACTTAGTATATCAATACTGATTGTATTTAGACATTTTAGAATTCATGCACGAAATCAGCAGAAGAGTCGTCAGTGTTTTTCAGAGAATTAACCCTGATGCTGTGCACCTATATAGGCTATATAGCCTATAGATAATAAATAGAGGATATTACTATTAGACGGTTGCGAGGAGATATGGATTTTATGTTCGAGTGGCAAAAACAATATCTCACGAGTGAGCGCAGCGAACGAGTGAGATATTGTTTTTCACACGAACATTTCTGTTTATTATATGGACTTATTCAGAGTGACAAAAATACACACAAAGTCAAAGACGGCATGTAAATAAGCACGCGAAAGACCAGTATAAATGCGCGATATTTTTAAAATTATAGTGCAAACATATAAAACTAGAATAAATTTTCCTTATCTCAAGATGTCTTTTAAATGTTAATGTCGTTTTAATTCCAACGTTAATTTCGTTTTATATATATGAACCAAAGACCATTTGTGTTTTCAAAACAACAATGAAAATGGCGGGAAATTTTCGAACTTCGTATGTCACTCGCAGGGGAGAAATTCGGAAAATACGTGCACCTGGTTCCGGATGTAGTGACGTATGAGTTCTATATACGAGTGTTTTAGTTTCCAGTAAAACACCATTGTCCATATAATAAATATTTTTACTTGTGGGTTATGTTCTGAATTTGGCATATGTATGTTTATATGCAGGTTTTCCTGATGGTATTCTTCAATTCTCAAGAATATTGTTTTGGATTGAGACTTTTTTACGACGACATAATGCCGTGCATGCATGCTTATATAATTTCACTGTCTGCATTCATATATATAATACATGTATTATGTTTATTTTACAAAGGAATGTTATTGTTCCATTGATAGCATGCAGTGATCTTTGTTTATATAGATTCTTTGTTTCCAATTGATATCGCCGCAGTGGCTAAAGATCACGATTTCTTGGATCAAGATTCCATTGAAGCGTTGTTCAGGTAATGAATAAACATTGTGAAACATGTATGTGTACAGTATAAACAGTTTAGATCACAGTTATTTCTATATTTTAGCTATAAGAGAGTATCAGGATATATATATATATATATATATATATATATATATATATATATATATATATATATATATATATATATATATATATATATATATATATATTTCTGGAAAGGTTTTGTGAATTGCGGAGTGTAAATACATTTATTTAGACTTTTCCATGCAGGAGCAGCTACGAAAAATGCATGTGTGCATGCAACTATATTGGTCTCAGACTCTCAGGAATGGAACCTGTGGTCCTTCAATTCCGGTTCAGCACTCTTATATACCAATTGAGCTGCAGAGTCCATGCAGTTGTCGAGTGCAGTTGTAAGCGCAAGCTCAAGTTGTCGAGCTCTAATCCATTCCTGCCAGAGGGCTTATATATACTCACATTTTTCGCAGCTGCTCCTGGTTAGGTCTAAATAAATTTATAAAATTTACACTCGAAATTTCCATCTTCAAAATCTTTCAACATTATAGCTAAAAGAACATATAGCCTACTACAATCGACTGCATGCAAGTATATATTCAAATATAAAGTATATATATACATGGATACAGGATACTATGTATACTGAAATGGTGCCAGTTCGCCTCAAATTGTTTAGCTTTTTTGCACGTATAGGCGTATATATTAATTCTCAAAGTGACAAATTTCAGATTACAGACACCACATGATTAGTTTTTCACAGTATTTTCACCTTTAATTAATAAATAATGAGATTTAAAAATCCATCTTTTTATCTCATTACGTTATGGCATGAGAGTATTCTTTTCGAACGGTAAAAGTGCAATTTATTTTTACCAATATAGGCGACTCCAAACTCTAAACAACTGTGCCAAACTAAAGCTTCATCCGAGAAAGGTAATGTTTACTTTCGCTTTGGAGTTTGGGTAATTCTCTTACAAAGAGTTCTCCCATTGACAAGTAATATCGAGTAAATTGATATCTGCATCCGAGGGTATACTCGCTAAGATATATTGTTATATATATGAAAAGCACCCGGTCAGCCAATAATTTCAAAAAGTATAGAAAAACAGATTCCGAAGAATGCACAAAGTCATCTTGAAATTCAATAGTTTAATCAAAACAAGACGAGTTTTTGGAGTGCAAATTTTGGAACAAAGTCGAACAAAATTTACACTTTAGTTAAATACTGTCTATAGTGTTGTTTTAATTCAAATGGTTTAAATTTCAAATGACTTCCATGCATTATCTTATTGGTTAATCGGGAAGATTAAATGCATCTGGTTGGTTTAACCCTTAATGGTAGGTAGTGGAAGTCAAATCTAAACCTCATGCGTGCACTATTAAATTTCAAGATGACTAATTCATTACTCGCCTCTGACTTACATTCTTCATGAGATACAAACTGGTCAGAGGACAGAGGTATATCAATCCTTTTCCAGTCCAATTACTCCTTGATGTCATTTTCAATTCCGAAAATAAGGATTAGACTGGATTTCAAATTGGAGCAATTTGATCTGACATCTCATGCTCATTATATACATGCATGCATAAAGTGAAGTGAATTAATTTTATCCAGTTCTAGGTCTGGATCACTATATACTTCGCGAGATACCCAGTATTATGTGAGCAAAATAAAGCAATATAGTTCGCTAATTTCCTCATGAATTATTAATGAGTATTATAGATTGAAGTGTGAATTGGTAAAATCTTCAAATATGTTTTCTTTGTCTGATGCCATTACTTGCTTGATCATTCACGAAAACGCCACGTTTCTGTCAATATCGTATACCCATATACAAAGTACTGCGAACAGCCGATACAGGAGGCATTGTTCGATACTGTCGTAAAATAAACATGAAATGCATTGGCTATATATCCCGCAGATCAAAAAATGGAAAGTTCTCCAAAACTGAGAATCATTAAATTCTCTTTGGATGCCTATTTTACTTTCTCACATTAACTGTCTGCACAATAGCGAACATTACGCAGGTCATGCATACAATTCGAGAAAAGATTTCTACTTTATCCGTATAAGGGTGCGAACCGTGTTTATGCATGTTGTATAGAAAATATATATACAACCACTTTCGTGCTCGTTTACTCTAATAAAGGGAGTGTTAATCAGATTAAGAGCAATCCTTTTTTGTTAATCTGAGAAAGCTGCGTTTTATCTCTTTGTTTATTTATCTGTTAGAAGAAAATAGCAACCAGCGTATCATTTAAACAAGTCATGAACGAAAATGTCCAATTATCGCATATCTTCGAAGCTCATACATGTACAAGTGAAATCTATTAGTATAACTCAAACCCTCGTTTAACTTAATTCAGGCCCTCGTTTTCTCCGACTTGTTAGCTAAAACCAACTTCTACTTTGACTCTTTTGTTAGATTGACGAATACGATTCAGACGACGAAGAACTTATCGCGCTGAGCTCAAGATGGAAACTACAAAGAAAAAATAGAAAATGGTCCAGAAGGAAGAGATCTGATGATACGTTGAGAGTCGCCATCAGTGAAAACACACCAAATTGCTCGCCCAAACCTTCACCACGTACATACATGCATTGCAAGGAAAATAATCCCGACAACGATAAAATAATTAGTGTAAATAATATTAACAATAATAGTAATAATACCGCTCTTGAATTACTTTACTCAAGACTACATGAACGAAGACCGAGCTTGTATGATAATCTGCCAATAAACAATTGCACGACAAGGAACTCGCTCGGGAAATCTTCGCTAATAAACGGTGACGAAAGTGATACTGAGGTTAGGTCACCTGTGGCAAAAAGAAGGCCTGGTAGCGATCGTTATTCCTCGTCCCAAAGTGCAGTTGGAGATGCATTAGGTTCTTCTCCAGAGGACCAGTCATCTGACGAGGAAGATGTATCAAAAGACCTAGAACTAGTTAAGTCGTTAAATGAGCAAGCTCCTCGTACGGATAAACCAAGAGCAAAGAAGGCAAGATGGCATAGTTTTCAACGTGCAAGAAATCCACGAAGAGACTCAACTTTGCCGTAAGTTAAAGTGCTTATGAAACGAAATTTTTGCCTCGGTTTTTATTGTCTTATTAAAAGGTACTGCTTAAATGATGACGGATGACGTTTACAGTTTGTTCGTATCTCATCTCATTCCCAAGTTATCGCACTTTCTATATTTTGAGTTGTGACGTCACTAGTTTGACTCAAAATAATGGCAATAACAAGAAAATCTGATATCTTTATGATCATTTAATAAAATTCAATGAAACTTGGCACACGTAGTGGGTGCAATGAAGTGAACAATTTGGCTTGTTTATATGGTTGTTATGGCAACACACTCGTCCCCAGTCCCTTTTCTTCCAATTTCTATATGATCCATTTCCAACAAAATAAATAGTAATTTCTGCAATTGTCGCTTATTACTATAATACGTGTAGGTATTGTGATCAGTTTAAACCGTTATAACATGCAAACATCCTCTGCAAGAGGTCTACAGGAGGAAATTTGTGAAAAGGAAGAGAAGAGACTGGGGACTAGTGTGTTACCATGGCAACCACATGACCTGCCAAAAATATTCATATGGGTGTACCCACTAAGTGTACCGAGTTTCATTGAATTTTATTAACTACTCACTAAGATATCAGACTTTCTTTTTATTGCCATTATCTCAAGTCAAACTAGTGACGTCACAACTCAAAATTTAGAAAGTGCGATAACTTGAGAATGAGATGAGATATGAAGAAACTGTAAACATTCTTCATCGCTCTAGCAGTACCTTTTAGCAAAACAATAAAGGTGAAAATTTCGTTTCATTAGCATTGTTACAATTTAAAATGCAATTTGAACACGGCAATTCGAGGGATAACGAATAGAACATACAAATATTGGTTATATCCTTATGTTTCGCATGCAGATGAACCTATATAGGGTGATGCTAAAAATACCGGAAAGTATTCGTGGGAAGAACATAAGAATGCAAATTAAATGTTAACAATGTATATCAATTAAACGCGGGCCTTAATTGTTCGTCGTTTTAAGTAGTATTCTATACTCTATATGTCAGAATTACGTATAGAAGTATTCAAAGTTATCCTCACGGGCAAAAAAAGAATTTGTACAATGCACCACATTTTCGCACAGTTAAATAAAACAACATCACATATCTAGTTCAGCAGGCCACCGTTCAATGTACAGCCATCATCTTCGACTTTTCATCCATTTTTTGTTGGTTTTTTTACCAGGGTTTCAATACTCATGCTTGTAGCGTAATTTTATAGCATGGGTAAAATTAATGACTTTAAGAATATGTATTTCCGCTACACTATCATTCCTTTCTTAAATTTAGTGCAAGAAACTCACGAACAATACTTTTATTCGAATATAAGTTTACTAAGCCATTTTCTTTGTGTTTTATAGTTCCTTGAAAATAACGAACTTATCTGGCGGTCAGTTGGCCGTTCTAAGGAAACTCTCGCTTCTCAAGTTAACGGCTTTAATAGAAAGATATTCAACTGTACATAGAGGGATAGGATGGTGAGATAGATTCTTTGTTCTTGTTTGTTCCCTTTTTATCTCGTTTCCTGTTTTTTATTTCTCTGTACTTTTGGCCACAGAAGACCCATCTTCATTGAGTTAGAAATTGACACGTTGGTAACTGGCATCAAAGCCAATCACGACGTGGTGATTCGACAGATATGTAGTTTATTTTAACTCATTGTGCTTATTATATTGTTACAACGGTGAACTGTTTATTCATGGCAAGTAATCCCTTGGATCACTTTATTAACCAGGTCAGTTTTTGACATGGTGTATTTTCGTTTAGGTCTGTTCCGAGAATTTTTAAGAAAATTATTTCGCCAGATTATAAAGGTATTGTACATTATTTCAGGACGCTATTTCAGTTGTATTGTTTCCACATATTTTTGCGTTTGCCTGTCGAAGAGTATTTATTGCTGAAAAAGCAATTTAGTCGGAGCATAAATTGTTTTATTCCTTGTACTGCAGGGAAGAACGTCTTCGGAGTACCATTTTCAGTCAATGTTCAGCGGACTGGTCATTCATTACCCAAAACCATACTCAGCGCAATCAGTCACTTACGTCAATCTGGTATGTCTTCTTTTCTAATTAATAACTCTTCAGTAAGATAATCGACATAAAATTTTAGTGGTTATATAGAGCGCATTCCTTTCACATCTTGGAACTGGGCTTGATGCTTTTAGTTGAGTGAACTGTATAGCAAACACTGGAGGTTTTCTTTGGGTGTTCCGGTTTCTTTTGTTGTCACGCTAAGCCATTAAGGAATGGCTCATTCCTGAGCCATTAAGGAATGGCTCATTCCAGAAGAGCATTCTGGTCTAACTGCGCACAAGTCAATAGTCACTGTTATTATCCACTCTAAATAAAGTGACTTTAGTTTTGCATCAATCAAACTATCACAGCTATAGATCACATATCATTATACATGTAAGTTTGTGCTTGCCGTACTGATGTTATCTCATTATATATTTCTTTTTTATCAGCACTCCAGTCAGTTGGGTTATTCCGAAGGTCTGGTGGTAAACAACGAATTCATCAACTGAAAATTTTAATGGAAGAAAATCCTGGTATGATTAAAACACAAATTAAGGCTTGTGTTCCAGGGGCGGATCTAGGGGTCGTCAAACCAGTCACGCGACTAACATAAAAATTGCAAACTTAATTAAAGTCTTAAATATTCGACCAATAGTCCAGTTATTTTTTATCATGCAGCGACACCTTATAATAGTCCAGTATCCATTATCATACAGCGCTAGCAATTAACATTCTAATCGAACTGTAGTCCAGTGATCAAATTTCATACAGTGGCTGAGCCGACGAGCTTAGTCAAGTCAATGAGCAGCTGACATACGCAAAGTCGGTCAGTCAAAAAGTCAAAATCCAGTGTTTTGATTGGTCTAGACGCTTATTGCCATGGAAACAAGCATTTTTTCGCGATTTTGACTGATCTGTGGGGGAGTTCTGACCGATTTACAAAAGTCAGGGGCGCTCCATTAGTCGGAATATCAATAATATTTGACGCGTGGTAAAGGCTTTCCGAGCGCGCGCTCATTCGAAGTGTCATGTTGTAGCTTTGTCGAAAGATTCAATTTAAAGATATCTACGGAAAATTCGGAAATGTCTGCTGCTTCAGACTCCAGTCCTTGTAGTATTTACGAAACGGCTCAATCCGCATTTGCGGTGAATGATTGAACTGTTTTACAAGACTGTTGCGCTGATCTTGGGAGGAAAATCAACGCTAAATATCGGAGAGTTCCATTCAGTGGGCAGTCGCTAAGCGGCGTAATGCACATATCAACGGCCTGCCCGGGGGGTACACCCCCGGGACAACCGGGGGGAAACGAGGGGGAATTTGGTATTTTAGCCGTGTATTCTGCCCGTGAACCCCGGGGAAATTACAAACTTCGCAATAATAGGACGACAGGGGGAGGGGAAGTAGGGGACTTTGACATGACAATTTGAATTTTATAAATGAAGTGAACAATTGGTGCAAACTCAAAATCGCAGGCTCACGAAGAAAAATATCGATCGCCAACTTATTATTTATGATATTTTGTAGTGGTCTTGCTAAAATTTGAATAAATAAATACAGAATACATGAGTGCCATTGTGATACCCCAGTTTGTATGATAATTTCAGGGTGTTAGCCAGAAAAAACCGTTTTGTCCGTTCAACGTAAATTGGGAAATTTTTTTTTGACCGATCAAAGTCCTTGTGTAGGAATAAATAGTGTTTTTTCCAACGTGTTTCTTCTTAGATGCAAACAACAGTGGCTTGGTTTTTTCTATTTCATTTCCGGTGAATGAACACGGATGCACACCGATGCAGGCACTTTGTTTTGTACATTTGATTTCAGTGAATACACACCCAATATGAATGAAACGTGATACATTTTGAGAAAATAGTTAATGGAAAAAGTAAATAAAACGTTCTTTGATATAATAATATAAAATCAAATGCAATGCACTTTCTCATCAGAAAAAATGAAAATCTTCCAGTAGACCCAGTTGGGAAAGTCCCTTAACTACTTCAATTGGGAAGAGTCCGTCAAACGGACGGACAGTATATGGGCTAGCTAACACCCTGAATTTTTAATTGTTTGTATGCTATTTATAATATGAACTACTTTATTCTAAGCCCCAGGGGGGAGGGCAGTTTGACTTACACATTTCCCGGGGGAGGGAGGGGGAATTAATGCATTAGAATCATGTTTTTTCAAAGTCCCGGGGTGTCCCGGGGGTGTACCCCCAGGGCAGGCCGTTGATATGTGCATAAGCGCCACGAATAGCTGAACTACAGTTCGATTGTTTGAGTAGAAGTATTGGCGCGGAGATCTTTATTCTGAAGTGCAATAAGGTAAACTTAATGTGATATGTAAATTTCATTTCGTTTTAGACAGCATAACAATATCTATAAGCGATGTGCTCCATGCATATGTAAAATTGTAACTTGAATACGCGTATCTTGATTTAGCTATGAATTTTGATTTACACAACAAATTTGCATATTAGTAATTCTGCGGTTGAAGGTCCGTCAGAACTCAGAAGGCTGTTAATATGGAGGATAACCTATATAAATGCATTAATGCAGTGTACATAGGATATAAAGGTCAGGTTTTATAGGTGAATGTTAAGACTTTATTTATGTTTATTTGAGTAATATAACACTGTAGTGATTACTAAGTGATCAATGACTCAACAAGGCTATATATATATTAGGCAACAAAAATGAGTGTAGTACTATCATGAGCTAGTTAAACATAATAATAGCAACCCGTAATTTGGTAAAATGAAACATCTTCCACAATTATCACATTTCTGCAAGTACTTCTCCTTTACTTTTCCCTAAGGAGCGAGTTGTGAGAGTCAGTCAGACTGATAGTTGCTATAATTATCTCCCATTTCATGAAGTTAATTTTTTGTTGAAGCTGCTTTCAGAGTGATGCAAATTGCGTTTCGGAGGTTTAAAAATATAAAAATTCCTGGGGAACAGACCCCCCTAGGTGCTTCGCGCATTCGCCACCCACAAACTAGATTGTACATCCGAAAACTTTGACTAACGTACGAAAAATCCTGGATCCGCCCCTGTTGTGTTCTGCTATATATTAGCTATACTTAATATAAGTTTTGTTTTGTAGAATCACCAACGTATATTTATTATTGCAAAGGTTTCGATCCTCCCGGATCTTCGAAGATTAGTGCATGCTAACAATGTAGCCTATGGATCTTCACTGATGAATATATGGATCATATATATGGATCGCAATAATAAGTAGATACGTGGTGTTTCCACAAACGAAAACTTATATTATATTATATTATATTATATTATATTATATTATATTATATTATATTATATTATATTATATTATATTATATTATATTATATTATATTATATTATATTATCGCCATGCAAAACTACAAAAAACTTGCGATGCAAATTTTATATTCTATTCTTTTGATCTCGTCACTTCTAGAAATGGACGACTTTCAAGATTGGGCTACTTTTGATATTGCTGATGTGTTGAAGATTTACTTCCGAGAGTTGCCCGAACCTCTATTAACCGTTAAATTGGCAGATACGTTTTTATCCATTCATCAACGTAAGTTCAAGTTCAGTCATAAGTTAACAATAGTATATAGTAACAGGAGGGCTAAGAATAGTATGTAAGGATAATTCATTGTATTTCCTATTCACAGATGTTCCGAAAGAACTAAGACTTGGAGCAATGCAGGCTGTCGTTCTTCTCATGCCTGACGAGAACAGGGAGGCACTACAAACTTTATTACTGTTTCTACACGACGTTGCTCAAAAGTCTAGTGTCAACCAGGTAAATCTTATTCGGAAAATTCTCTGAAAATTTAATGATTTTGACATCGTTAATATTTTCCATATGATGTCATGTACACACTTAATTATTAATCAAGATTGTTCACAGTGTGCTGACGCGATCATTAAAATGAAAAATGAATCGTAAATTATGATCATGCAGCAACTAAACCAAAACACATGGTGGGATGTCTTGTTTACATGCACTATAGAGCGTTTGCACATGACGTCACAGTCGCCATGTTGGTGTTCCAATTCAAAAGAATTTTAATTAGACTCTTTTGTCTGGAACACCAACCTGACCGCCATGGCTTTTGTTGAGTTGATCGCTGAGGGAATGAGTGTAAACGCTCAAAACTGTTTAAAATGTACACATGGGTTTCACGTTTTAGAAAAATTTTACAGTGATTGTTTGGTGACTGAGAGTGGCTCTAAATCTAGTTGTCACTGAGAAACACAGTCGAAGCAAAGCAGTAAAAATCTTACTTGTCTGTAATACAGTAGCGGAATTCAAACGGGATGATCCAATGATTTAGTAGTGACCAAGAAAAAATTTATATATAAAAATACTAGAAATACATGCATGCAACAACCCCTCGCCTATATTTTCCAAACATTGTTTCAACATGAAGTATTCGTAATTACGCCAACACTGAACGCAGGCTCGTGTTGCTCACGTCATGTTAGTCATGGCAACACGATAATTTTTTTTTTAATTTTTGTACAAACCTGCCAAAAATATATGAAATTTGAACACTTTTAAATACAGAACTATCAATTTCTAAAATATTTAATGTAGGTCTATTATTGTGGTTTCTATGGGCTTTATTTTAATGTAAAATTCAAAACGAAACTCTACGTAAAACGTTTTTAAATGTGAATTGAAATTAACTGCTTTTTGCCGATATTTATACACTTCTCAACTCGAGCTTCAACTTATCACTCGCACTTCGAAATGAAACAAATTTAATTCGTACAGGACGCTAATGAAAATAATTTGCTTTCCTTTTTATCATGAACTTCTACAAAACTAACAAAAGTTAATCAGTTAACTAAGAAACTTTCGCAAACAGTGCATAGGATCAAGACTTGAACATCAAGAACAAGTCTATATTATTATAAAATACAAAAAAGTCGTACATAAACAATTGAAACAAACTTGCCCTATACTTTAGGATTTCTCATACACTATCAATTCTTATAAATGTTTACGTTTAAAAATTGCAAAAAAGTTGTACAATTTGTTATGTGAAACGATTTTCCAAGCTTCTGACATGTATTTTTTATATTTTTTGCCTTCTTCACTCCTGGCAAACAGCCATAGTTTGAGATCAGTGATGATCACCCACTCAACACCGTTGGTCACGCCCGCGATCATTGATGAACTTTAGACTTCGCCACTGGACTTCGCTAATGCTCTCGTTTCCCCGGGTGTAAATAGCCGGGCGGAATTAGTACCCTTTCCCCGGGCTCACGCCCGGAACGGAGCTCCGCGCCGTTGGCTCGGGGACAAGTATAAAATCTTTAAATTCCGTTTGTCATGTTTTTGGTTATTTCTCAACAGTGCTGAAAAGAATATTATATGTCTGTTTCAGATGACTGCAAGCAACTTAGCTGTTTGCTTCGTTCCTGCCTTTTTTCATTTGTGTGGGGCGTCTGATGATGTTATTGGTCATCCAAAAAGAGTGAAAAGACCTGCGATGAATAAAGCAGCCAAAGAACTAACAAGTGGACTGGTAAGTCTGACATATGTTTTCCCATGCGTTTCTATAAATATCCCAAATTGAAAATTGATAAATGTGCAGTTCCCAAGTTGATTAATATGCCATCTTTCGTTTACTGAAATTGTAAAATTGTTTCGTCATCTATTTTTTTTCACAGGATGCCCAAGAATGTATCACTCAGATGATTACAGATGTGAGAAAGTTGTTTGCTGTAAGTAGATAATAAAATAAGAGAGAGAGAGCTTTAGTTATAGAGTTTTTGAAATACTTTCAAGAGAAACCCTATTGCTATGTGCTAAATAATTATTTACGAGCAAATTAGCTTTTAACCTGAAATCTGCTTCGTCAAATATATCCTTGATGTAGTCCTAAGAATGAAGTTTTACAAATTTCGGTTAAATTCTATCAAGTTCTCATTTTTTTGGATTTAAACGCCTCCAATTCCACAATATCGGAAGGAAGAAATTTGGGTGAGGAATATAGGGATAATGAAACTTCATTTCTGCTAAACACATGGATATATATATACGTATGTTTAGCTTTCAACAAAAAAGTCTGCCCAAATTTAATATAAATGTTTCTCCTTAGATTCCACAAGATACAATGATGAAAAGTAAATTTTCATACATCGAGCAAGGAGAACCTGTAACACTCGAGGAACTGGGGAAAGTCGATGGATGTTCCAATGAAGATTATCATAGTTACCTCGAAACTTGCATAGCTTCAATACTAAAGGTAAACAAAAAGGATATACATGACTTTTTATAGATACCCATGATGTTACAGTAGATGTTTTTTGGGATCGATGCTTCAGGGGCAACCTCTAAAATTTCACTATTCTTTATTGCGAATCAAACTAAATGGGTACAATTATAGCGAATGCGATCGTTTTATATTACCCCACAGAGGATCATTGTGCATGCATTAAAATTAATTAGCCTTTCTCACGGCCGATTTTTTCGCCATTTTGGGGGTACTGCTTCTCCCACGTTTGAGAGTCTCGGCATCACCAAATGCGACGTTTTAGTATTATAGTTGTTTGTATAATGGTAAATTTACAGTTACAACTTTTAAAAGTCGCTTTTCGCTTGTTTGAGTTGTCTAGAATCTTTCACGAGGGCATGCAGACAATACCCCAAAATGGCGTATTTTGGCTTTCGTGAGAAAGGCTAATTATACGATAATTTTTTTATAACTGGATAATTTTTAAAGCAAATTTCTACAAATTTGCTTTAAAAATTTTTATTTGGGGGCCCACTTAAACTGGGGCCCCAAGGTAAATTGCCTCTTTTCCCCTCTCTTCTGGACGCCCTAGATAAATACCGACGTATTTTAAGAGGCAACACCTGTTTCCATCTCCACCTGCTGCTGATAATATGGTACACTCGATATTCCTTTCCCATGCAGTTACACGTAACTATTGTGTAATCAGTGGTGTCTTAGTAACGAAGTAAATGTACTTCGTTACTGTACTTGAGTACTATTTTTGAGAAGTAATCTAACAAAGTAAACTTTTTCGGGAGTACTTGTACTTGGAACGAAGTCGATTTAAGAAGTAACGTTTTACTTCGTTATTTTCATCATATGGCGAAGTGTTTCGTTACTTTCTCACACTTGTTTAATTTTACGTGATTTATTCCTGATTTATTTTAATTTTGGGATAGGTAATAGGACCTCTATATGTGTCTGGAATCCCTCGTTTGTGGCTTACTTAACTTCAACGTGGTCTGGAAAGTAGATCATGCTGTGAAATATTTAACAAATATAAAACATTTTCCGTGTTGATATACAGTTATATCAACACGAGTGGAAATTGGGAAAACGAGAATTGTGTGGAAACACGACGCCCGAAGGGCGGAATGTTTTCACACAATTTCGAGTTTTCCCAATTTCCACGAGTGTTGATATAACTATATATCAATACGGAAAAAAAAGTTTTATATTTGTTTTATAATATAGCACAAAGAAATATAAAGAAAGAAATTTTCCGACTTTTCCGTGTTGACATTGAGTTATATCTACACGGCTCTTAGCCAATCAGCGTTCAGAATTTACAAATGCTATATTATAATGTATATTATGGTGCACACATATGCGTGTGCTGTTTTGTGTCTTTTAATAATTTTGCAATCCTTTGTACTTCAAGTATTTTTTAAGGATACTTTGTACTTTTTACTTAATTTGCCTCCAGTACCTTTTACTCTTGCTTTTACTCTTACTCTTACTCTTACTCTTACTCAAGTCGTTTTGTTGTTAATTACGTCTACTTTTACTCGAGTACAAATTCAAAGTAATTTAGGCACCACTGTGTGTAATATCTTTCGAACACATTAATTTATCGAACAAGCTTCTCTTAAATCAACATCTTAATTTTCTGTTTCATTTCTAAACAAAACACCAATATTCTTGTAGGAATCACGACTAAAGTTTAAGAGTTGGTTATCATACACATGGCCTGAAGCAATGACTTCAATTGAAATATCGTATAAGAAAGTACGAGATGGTTATCCATTGAGATTATGGAAAGCGACGACAGAGATTGACGCTGAACCTGACGCGGTCATGAGACGAATTGTTTATGAACGGTATGTGAAGGAACGAACGCATTCCGCCGGCGTTCTATGTTCGCATGCATGGGTGTATTTAGCATGCTATCGAGTGCAATTTGCACTAGATAGCATGCTAAAACAGTAAAAGAGTTAGAATTATGAAAACAATCTGATCATCAATATGTAAAATAATATCTGAGTAAAATTCTAAGGTGAAGGCGTTTTCTTCCATTAAAGAAAAAACGATTATGTACAAATTTAAAAGCTTCAAAAATTTTTAAATTAAGAATTGAATTGAGATATGTCTTATGTAAATTCACTAAACCAGTAAACAGAGAATTTACTTACTTTTGGCGCTGCGGTACCTATCAAATTTTCGAAAAGAGAAGCAGATGCATACATCATATTAAAATAAAATTAATGTCTCAATATTATTGCTCTGGTATTATGTAGGCAACAGTGGGATGAAGAATTGATATCTGAAAAGGTTGTCCAGGAGCTGACGGAAAACACGCAAGTCTATAAATACATCACACGAACGTCTTTACTGCATCCACCGCGAGATCATGTCGTACTAAGGTAAAATTTCTTTCCTTCCTGGGAGAGCCTATCTGTGGTTGCACTGTTTACAACTGCTCCCGCTTTATAGTTGACAACAGTTTTCTACTCGAATAAACATATATTTAAGTATGCATGAAATAATATACATAAAAACAAATAGCGAATGTTCATTCTCAGATGTAAATGACGGTAGGACCTGGACTTTCCAGTATAAAACGACTGTGCTGCTTACTGTGGCAACACCAAAAAATGTTTCTCAGAATATGAAATATTAAATGCTTGACACAAAATCTCGTGAATTTTATACTGCATTATTTGGAACATTTTTGTCTTAAACTGTTTCGAAAAGCATTAGCCAATTCTTAAGTTAGTTGTAAAACAATCAATTAGCACCACCATTAGCTAATTCATCCCACTGTTTTGGCAGTTTCAGCAAGAAAAAATTAATGATAATGATGTCACATGGCATTCTATAAGTTTTCTTTATTAAATTGCAAAACATTTAAGAAATAAGTTGATTACTTAAAAATGATCATAACGCTTAAAAATCATACACGTGATAAACTCCATCAAAATTTGGCACCTGAAAGACTGGCCTGACACGAGTTTCTGGTTTGATACTATCACCAAATAATCAAATTTGCGGCCAGACGTTATTACTATGGCAACGCCAAAAGCAATAATTTGTGGGAACGGATTCCTAGTGATGAATGATCTAGTGTGATTTTGTCAATACCTTTCTAAAACAATTTTCATCTTCTTATCGTGTGTGTGGCCATTTTAAATTGTTTTTAATGCAATAACTCAAAAGTTTAAAAAATTCTGTACGACAGTGAAGGCAGCATATTACCATGGACAATAAAATAAATGGATAGGAAACTAGCTGAGGTGACCTAATGTTTTCAATGGGCTGATGGCGTGGTTGGATGTTGAAACCTAGTTGCAAACCAAACATTTTAGTCACCAGCTAAACATTTTAGTCAAAGAGCAAATAAATATAACTGCGCCATTCTACGATGAAATCTCGTAAGTATTCCCAGTCAATTTTAGCAAATATTTCAAGCACTAAAAAGTGAAAAATGCATCGCAAATTTCGTTAAAATTGGCGACGCCAATTTCGTAGCTACAAATGTAAAAAAATACAAAACAAAGACGAAAAACATTTACCTTGAATACTTTGTCGTGGCTTAGGCATGTTTTTAAAACAATTAGACCAGTTTATGCTTCAATATTACTCTTTTAAAGCGGAAAATATAGCGAAACAACAAAAATGCTGAGAACTTTGGCAATACGCGTAACGTCACAGATTGCAACAAGGTTTAGACTGTGACGTCAGGAAGTTTCCTATCCAGTTATTTTACAATCCATGATATTACTAGGCGTATGGGGCCAAATTAAAGAAGGAAGTTACCACTCGCTTGTCTAAAAATGGCTGAAACCGTGATGGTCTGGCATAACCTTTCAATTTCGTGAGGCAAGAAAGTACCCCAGACCTTCAACTTTCCTTCTCCACATTTAAAAATGAGATTATCAGCAATGTCAAGGTTATGCCGAAGGTCAAGGCTAAAAACTAAAATTTTATAACCAATGGCAATGAATGGCAATATTGGCATATTAACACACAATTTGCTAAACGTACATATATAATGACTTACATGCAGACTTTAATATCATTACCGCGCAATTGTAATTACAGTACGATGTTCAATTATGGCTATATTTGGTTTTTGTCAGCTTGTATTATCAGGCAAAGTTTAAAAAACACCCCCGCAGTTGTCCCTTATTTAGAACATTTCGAAATATGTCTTCCATATATGTATGCTGCCTTGGTAGCCCAGTTAATACATATAACGCAATACCAAAACAAGAGAAGAGATGTCACTCAACCCTGAATTGGTAACGTGTAGCAAAACCTCTCAATTTGGTCGGGGAGAAAAGTACCCCAAACTCCAACTTTCGTTCTCCACAAACGCGATTACCTGCAAGCAATATCAAGGTTATTATGAAGGTCAATGAAAAAAATTATAACCAATGCATGCACATGCAACGAATTAATTGGACAATAGCAATACTACTACACACTTTTCTTAAACGTCCGCGCATTAATGATTAATTAAATATAATTACTTAATTGCATGTATACCATCGTAATTACAGTAGCAATGTTTATTTATCACTGTATAGTTGACACAGTTAATATTGTCATGCAAAGTGAAATAATTTTACTGTTAACAACCAACGTGCCTAACAACTTTGTTTTGACATTTATGTGAAACTATTAAAATTATTCTTTGTAACTCTCGAAAAAGCTGATTTGCTTTGGTATATTTTTACTTTTGAATATGATGAATAAAATTCCATCCGACTTAAGAGACATGCTGCCTCTTCCACGCGGGGATGCCAGGGTTAAAAATAACCTTCAGTGCAGAGGAAGGAGAAAAGACACCTGTCTTTCATGAATTCAAAAACACTTGTATAGCCACTGAAGTTTCATGTGATCTGGACAAATTTTGAGTTCCTTCCTTGGCAAATTATCGATGACCTAGTGTCCCATTCCAAGTTAGAGGGCCATAACTGTCGTCGTTGCCCAACAAACACGCATGTATAGTTTCAATGCAGTAGTCTAACACGACAATCCACAGGTTTATCTAGTATGGTTTTTAGTGTCTTTTTATACACTAGATAATTTTATTATGTTTCTTTATTTTCTAGAACTTGGCGATCAAATATCGACAATGGTAAATGTGTTATCGTCACTACATCAATTGCTCATGCTGAACCAGCAAGTTCTGAAAATGTTCGTGCTACTGTCCTCGCGTCGAGGTACCTGATAGAGCCCATTGAATATGGACGATCACGTCTTACTCACATACACAGGGTTGATCTCAGGTTAGTAAACACTTCTCATATTTAACTCTTCCATAAAGACATGCCAAGCTTTTTGCATCGAAGAGATCGACTTAATAGCAATATGATGAGATCATTAAATCAACCTAGCTTTCTGGGCAAACCCAGTTAAATTGAGCAAATCTCGGGGAGGACTATAGCCATAGGAACATTTTGGGTGAATTTATTGTAAGATTTCAGGTTTTCCATTACAATCATTGATAAAACTTCGGGCAAACGTTTTTAACCATCATGAAAAGATTTGCACAGTGTACGTATGCATGCGCAGATGTATCTTATAAATTGACAGTTTTAAAACAGTCATGCGCAGTAGGATTTAATATGATTTGTCAAAAAAAACAAAAAAAAACGATGCTGCGTTTCATTAAACAATGTCTTTCCAAAATCCAACCTTTTTCTTCAAACCCTGTAGGCCTAATTATTACAGCTGTCCATTTGCGATATATGTTGACATGTGCCTAACAGATGTCAGATATTGACTAGTTTCATTTGAACATATTTTATATAGCACACCCTGTATTCTTTGTTCAACCTAGTCATATAAGATAGAAGAATATCGATCAATAAGTATAGATATATTATGTGCACTATTAATTAATCCATTATGAAATTTTTGGCAAGATCATAGAAGTCTGTGTGTCATTGAGATCTTGCTATCTAATGGCCTGATGTCGATCTAAGATCCGGCTATCGAAGTATTCGAAGAAGGATTGTATTCCTATTGTTTCTGCTTTGCCTCTCAGACATATCCGAGATTTCGTAGACGTCTACCTCTGGTATTCACTGCTGGAAATGATTCAGTTATCTATACTGTGAGATTGTTGAGTGATATTCAGTTACGGTCAATTACCTGAAGTAGCAGATCTTGCCCTTGAGTCCTTGACTCGTATGGTCAAAGGTTCCCAGTAATTGGACAGATTGTATTTTCTGATATGTTATATAAAAAGGCTGTCTTGTAATTGGCTCAATTCAACATCTAATTTATAATGCACTCTTAAAAAAAGTCTACATATTTTGTTATTTTGAGCAAATTAAGTTTCATAATACGTGACAGTGCTAATATTAAATTAGCTGGCTACCCTATAAAGTATAATATGGCTACACTATAAAGTATAATAATTTCAACAACAGTTCACAATTTACCTGTCTTTGTTCAATTTTTGCAATAGAAAACAGCAGGGATCGATAACTTAACTTTTTAACTGCATTCGCATATGCTCACGTTTCATTTCGCGTGGAAACTTATCGTCGGAGAGAGAGTAAAACCCTGGCTTGGCAAGGTTTTCGGCGTTCAGGCGATCTCGCCTCATTTGCCAGTCATAAAATCGGATAAAAGAGCTACACACGTAAATTCCCCAAGACTACAATACACATTACTCATAAGCGATCGTGACAATAATTGTCATTTCTTTCTAGTATACGGAACACAAAGATTGCTCGATAATAACAATGAAAATTAGAATGATATAGATATGTCTTGAAAATTGTATTGCTGTAACCAAGGCCGCCGAGATGTAACCATGTACAAAAATCCGGCACACTGTTGCAGAAATATCTGGAAAATTTCTGAAAAATTATACAAATTTCGTATTCACGTATAAGCGTGGTTCACACAAGTGAAATAGGTAGAAGCATAAGAAACGACGTACAAAAGGAAAAAAAATAATTATGCAGTGAAGTATGCTACATACACTACAGCAAGCTTTGACGTAAGCTCAAGCTTAAAGCACAACTAAAACGCTAAGTATAAGCTAAGGGAAACAAAAGACAGTTAGAAAGAAAATTCTTTCCGTTTTGTCTTTGCAAATCCCAAGGTAAAATTTTCTTTTGTATTCCTGCTTATATGAGTTATGCTTGTCTCACTCGTGTGACCTAGGCTAGGTTGCAGTAAACTGGCCTGTGATTAGATCACTCCACAACCGCATAATTTTCAGCATATGTGACATTTGAAAGTGTGCCGGAAAGATTGAATATCTTATAGACCCAATGTCTCCAATATGAGTATCATATCTTGATTTAATCGTCAGATTTTGTTCTTGAAATTTTACTAGTGTTAACGTAACAAGTCATAGAACTTTATGGGAACCACTGAGCAGGGGCGTAGGAAGCATCAAAAGATTGGGGGGGGGACACTGGCTTCCAGGGGCACTTTTGGATATTGAAAAGGGCACCAAAAAATTTTTTTCCCGGAAATGTTGGGTGAAGGAAGAAATATTTTCTTGCCATACTATACCAAAATTGCACGTCTTTGACGAAATTTTTTCGACGAAATCGAAATTTCCAAACAAAAAAAGGCGCCTTTGATGTTAATTTAGTTTTTACAGTGCCATTAGCTTGTATAAAAGGGCACTTTTCATCACAAAAAAAGGGCACTTTTGGTCCTTTGAAAAAATTGGGTGGGGGGCCACGTGCCCCTTGTGCCCCCCCCCCTCTCCACGGTTCCTACGCCCCTGTATTTTAATGAAATACAAAACAACTCCAAAAATGAACATTTTAAACTTTCGACCACGTTTTGGCCATCGTCAGCTGATCAGGAATAAAAAAATGCAAATCTAAAAGAATCTAAAACGTATGGTCGAAACTAGAGCTACAAATGTTAAAATGTTACCATTATTTTGTATTTCATAGAACTTTATCATTTTATCTTTTGTATCATATTGACATAGAAGTCTTAAAATAATAGTATACCATGGCGGTATGCATGTGCATCTGTACGGTAATTTTAGAGCCGTATTACAATGACTGTAGTTATTCATTAGTAATGCAAATACCCGAAAATATTTAAAATAAGGCGAAATATTATATAGGATATGTTAACTATTAAAAAAACCAAGCATATGTGCATGTGCCGTGTGCGACTGCATGATGAAGTAAGAAATGTACTAACTTGCTAACTCAGGGCCAAGCGGCGAAAAATATAGCACATTATTTCATTAATTCACTTATTTCTAACAATGTTTTAGATATTATTCAGCTATGGATCTAATTGATTAACCCTATACGCCTGTTATTATAGTCAATACACCACATATTTTGTGCATCTTTGTTCATTCTGTCCCTAAATTAACATGACAGTGGTAATTAGGCAAATGAGGTATCCAATAATGTGAAATTGGGTAGCATGGATTATATATAGGTCAAGGAGTTGATACTGAAAATTGTGTAATTCTTTAATGGTTAATCCAACTGCATATTTCGTTGCAGGGGACGCACACCAGACTGGTACCATGCTGCTATGCCTCCAATTCTTTCAAGCTCCATTCAAAGAATAACGAACTCGTTTTTAGACGATGGTGACAACCAGGAGACAAACGTTTGAGAATGGAAATATGAGTATGAAACATTATTGTGGTATGTTTTACAGAGGTAGCGCTCCGTCCAGGCGAGAGATCAGATGTTCATACGGGGAGGAACTTGCGGTACATGAATTCAAGCAAAGAATTTGTATTGTAATCCAGTCTTACACAAGGCGTGTCGCTAGGTGAAGAACAATAGCCAACAGGTTGACCGGACCCTTATGAAAACCAATGTTGAAATATTCGTATCAATTGCTTTAATACAAATTGCAAAGTTATCACGGGTACGCAAATGTCTGCAAATTATTTTTGATGTGGACTTAGTTTATTTTAGTAGTTTATTTCATCGGAAGTGGAAGAAAAGGTTTTGCCAGATTTTTGCCAATTGAAGAAAATTGTTAAGAGTCAGTAGTTTAAGTTTGTTTCAGTAACTGCATGGTTCAATTTTACTACCTACAGGAAGAAACCGGACTATTGGGAAAAACTCGGACGCTCTGTGCCAGCGACAATAACACCAAAAAGCTGCGGATTGAGAGAGATTCGACATCGGAAAATACAAGCAAAACTTCGACGTTTCGAACGAAGGCCCTTCGGAACTTCCCGACGACGTTTTGCTTGTATTTTTCAGGTAGTTGAATATACCTCTCTATCCGCATCTTGTTGGTGTTACCGGGAAAAAGGCTGTTGTGTCTGGTAGAGTCAACTGGAAGTATACTCTTCCTACATATGATTAGGACAAAAATTGGTCTGATTATTGCATATTGCAAAAAAAACACATTTGCAAGAATCGAATATTAGCGGCTTGCATGCAGTAAACTCAACATTCCAGCTATTTAACCAAGACAACAAAATTTGACCTTATTCCAAAGTCGTTGTCAACTCAATATTACCTTGAATTTTGTAATTGTCTTTGTTTAAAAATTCGAAATTTGAGTTTACAAGATGCTAATATTCGGAATGTGTTTCATCTTAAATTTGGTAAAGGATTTTGAAGAATCGAAGCCCGGGGGCAAAGGCATGGCAGGCACGCCCTTTGCCTCTGGCATACTTTTCCTTTATACCATACAGAAGAAATTATTTTCTGTTAATATATTCAAAACGACACCCATAGCAAATCTTACAACTTTTCTAAGCATTATTTATTCAATTTCCTCTACCTATGTACAAGCACGTCAGAATTTCATCTTACTGTGCAACCATACATTTTTACTCGCCAGCCAATCCCCTACAGCTGCAATTTATTAATTATGAATAATATTCTATTAAAGTGGAAGTTTTAAGTCAGACTCTCAAATCAGTTTTCAAAATAGAATTCCTCCCTCCAATCATGCGCTTTTGGTCGCATTGAAATCTGCAATAATCAGTGTTGTGCTTGTTGTGTTGTGATTGAACAAGTAAATAATTTTCTTATAAATGAACAGAGCCTTGTACTGACTTATACTTCCATTGATATGAACATTTCTGTATTAGCCAATCCGTGAATAGAATCCTGATTCAAAATGGACCTTTACGCAATCTTTGCTAATATATACCTACTTTGGGCGTAATAGTAGTTGAAATGCTCGGTGCTTGAGTTTAGACACTTAAATTTCATAGTCAACACCTTTATATAGGCCAATATTCGAAAAATACACGAAAAACTAGGTTCCCAGGTTGTCAGTATTGATAGCTAAACACCCACACTCACCCACACACACATTGATTAAACATATAGTCGAAACATTGGCATTTTACTGCCTAATACAGTCACAACAAATTAAAACACTGCAGTCTGTTTTGAAACAAAATACATAGGGAATTTTATCGCCCCATATTTACAGCACACAGGTTATTCTTCACCCAAACTGGTTAAAAGGCAACATAGTTGTAAGGCGTCTGTTTTTCTACATGCGATTATGTTTGTATTTAAATTTAATACGAACTGCCACTGACTCACTGCAAGAGTTCTCTAATTAGGTTGTTTAATTTTGTGACCCCCTTTTATTCTCTCACGGTGTATTTAGAGATATTTTGAAAATCGAACGCTTCAAAACGTTCGTCATTCATAGTCAAGCGGTGTAAAACACAGGTGAAAGAACAAAAACTGTAGATAATGGTTCTTGGATGGATATTTATATAAGCGTTGTCCTTGCATTGTTATGCGAAATTTCAGTCGATGATTGACAGTGAGAAAATGATGCTTTTGTGATTTTGGACAATCGAAAAGTAAAGTAATCTTCTCTGTACGACTGTCTAGGGATTTTATTGTATCTAACATTGTAAATGTTTGTGGAGCTTTCACTCTTATGTTCTTGTGTACTTGGAAACCTTCAAATTCAAAGAACTGAGGTAAAATAAGTTATTTATTGAGAGAACCATCTAAAGTTGTGAAAAGGAATTTCTCCACTGTATTCTGCGCTCTAAATTTTAATGTCTTAGACTCTCATCCTCGTTTGACCAGAGCTTTATTTATAGGCTGTTTAGTTGACTTCGCATAAAATAAATGCCAGCTCAAATTACATAAATAATTCCACCTGAAATGATAAGCAAAGATTTGCGCAGATTACACCTAATAGTTTATTTTTCATTTCCACAAAAACATGAAAGTCAGAGATGCAGTTCTTTAGGAGGGCCACCTGGTCACCATATCATCAAGCTGTTTTCATAAGTGTTATTTTTATTCTTTATACACAATCGCATTTACTGCTAATCCTTACTTGCGCGTTAATTTGGCGAGCTTCCACTTGTCATGGTTCGTGGTGTTTCGTTGTAATGCATGCAATGCGACATTTACTTAGGAAAACTTCCTGTACTCTGCGTAAAATATAAAAAAGGGCAATATCAGTGTCGTTTGAACCACTTTGCATTCTGTATTAGATAGTTTAAAAGCTGCTCGGACAGAGGTGGAAAATGTAGCGTGGGGCACAATTGATGGGGTGTAGAAACAAAAGCCGTCACGCCAGGGCACCGAATTATTACGCATTGACACGATTACGGCCAGATATCAAATTAGGCTGGTGTGTTCGCTACAATTCCGCCGAGTGGAGTACTTGAGCGTGGCGATGATATTCAACTGTACTGCGACGTATTCAAGGATTGCCAGACAGAAGTTGCAAGTTTGAAAGAAGGTACGTTAAGTAAAAACTACAAGTCAGAAGTGTTGACCGAACAAAATTTCGAAGAACGATAGCTATGCATGAGACCATCATTTTGTGGAGCTGTTCTCCACCGTTCATTTTTGCTACATTTCAAATGCCCGATTTCCCAGCGACGTTCGTAAACTCTGCGATCTCGTGCTGCCTGTATAGCGTGCAATCGATTTGACAGGGGTTATCCCAAAGGTATGTTTGGGGGCCGTTCTTATTACCGGTTGCACTACATAAGCGAGCTTTACTTGTCGACAACCAAAATAAGTGCCCTAAACATCTGTCGACTTGGACGTGCTGGTTTTCCCGCCTAAATCATGTTTATCACGAACAGTACGTCGGGAAACGAGCACTGAGGGTTTATGCGCCTAACGAGCTTGTAAATTTGTGGGGTCAGAGCGCGAAATTAAGAAGTACAAACGTAAAGGTATATCTATATGAGAGCTTCGTCCCCGCAAAGGGCACTTCCTTATATGCAATGCTTATATGGGAACCGCGGGTGAAAGGTCAGAGCCGCTGGAAAACCGTCTTAACGTAAGACGGTCACACTTTATTGTTAAATCTTCTGATCTTGACTTTCTGTTCGCACCTTGTCACTATCATATTCAGCTCGCTACTGCAGTGAACTTCTCTCGCTGCGAGGGTTTAAAAAAGCGTATTCTGAATTGCTAAACATGACACGGCATGCTTCAAATACCACACAATCCAACCCGGTTAGAATTTATACGCGTGAAACTGTTTTGAAATGCCGCCATTTTAATACAACTGGATTAACGGATATCGAGGGAAAAGGCAAGTGAAGATCATGAAGTTCTTTTTGTAGTTTGTCTCTCGCGTGTGTAATATTGATGATGAGAGGCATAGTTTTGCTTGGCGGGGGATCAAGTGCATATAGCGCCCTGTCATCGTTCGTGCATACAATAACACGACTTCGTTTCACTGCTAATTAATATGTAAACTTTATACAGTCAACTTAGTAAATTAAGAAAACAATGTTATTCTTTTTCTGAGGAAAAGTACACTTTTAACGTTTTATGTTTATTTTAAAAGTATTATCGGTTAAATCTGGGTTGTTGGCTACATACGTGTTGGAATGTTTATGCATATCGAGTCTACAGTACTGACATCAGTGTACACGATAAGGGTAATAATAGTACCTACTTATGGTCCACAAACCATGTGCAACCACGCATATATTGTGATAATATAACAATGATGTCTGTGATGTTACTCTCGAGTGTACACCGTGGCCAGGCATATTCATCAAGCTTGCCCGGTGTGGATATACACTGAGAGTAACATCACAGACATCATATTCACCTGAGTACATAACACCAACACAGAAAGAAAAAAAATATATATATATATATATATAATATATATAACAATGCTTACAATGTGGCAAATGTGTATAATTCACCATCTTGGTAATTATCAGGCTCATCACAATCAGTGAGCATGTATATAATCAGTCACGATTGCGCAACTTTGTCTGATAATTAACACTTAAACGGTCTGTGCCAGCAGTGGCAGTGTAGGCAGTGCCAATAATAAGAAAACTTCGGATCGACATGCAGGGATACAACTACCTGAAAAATACAAGGAGAACTTCGACGTTTCGAGCGAAGGTCCTTCGTGATCCTTCGTCGCTAACTTCCCAACGAAGGGCCTTCGCTCGAAACGTCGAAGTTCTCTTTTTCTTTCAGAAAGCTTTCCTTTTTTTTCAGATATAGTTGTATCCCTATATCAATCCGAAGTTTTCTTAATTAACCAACACTTACGTTCATCGAATGAGCCGAACTACAAATCACACTCCGTTCCAAACGAGGATGAGAGTTGAGAAGGGAGAATTTGCAATGCAGGACTCTCATGTCCTGCTCAACTGACGAGAACAAGAGATGCGTGAGAGATGATGAGATATTACCGGTCAACCCTATATCAACTCGCATAAACTCTCATCAAAATTTGAACAGCTCAATGTTGATGAGAGTCGATGAGAGTTGACCGTGAGCGAGAGTTGCAACTCCTGTCATCCTCGTTTGACCGAGTTGCTCTGTGTTGCGAATTTTAATTATAATACTACTGTCGATGCAGTATTTCGAAGTGCCTGTCAGCAGCGATTTACATGCAGTACACTTTCAGAAAAACGTATAATAACAATATATAGTGCAAGTTTCATTATTACCTGCTTTGGTCAGTGATTGTTATAGTTCAAACAGCTGGCAAACAATTGGGCAAACAATTGGGCAAACAATTTGGCATTTTGGCTGGTTACATTGAGAGAAAACTCATCTTTAAGTTTATGCCAGTGCGCTTACGTAACTCGGTTTTGACCATCTCAAAAATTCCTACGCGGTTCAAAACTAACTAAGCTTTACTGCCTTTCAGAGGTTTGGGTTGTCCAAAGTTGCCAACCAGTACAGTATAAAAAGTATGCTGTCCGCAAAATTTGCATTTAAATTATACAAAATAACAATTGTTTTTATATTCACTTGGAATAAGTACGTAATATATAGATCGGTTTCTACCATTTGGCTCCAATATTCATGGTGAATGCATCACCCCCTGCATGGCATACACCTGCTAAACCTCGACTTAATTTTCTTGCTTCACTTTAGATCAGTGCAGTATTTGTGTTTAAATTAAATATTTATTTCCCACCCCCATGCATCGAATATTGAGATTTAGTGATTTAGAGCAAGTGCTATGACTATATGTGGTTTATACAACGTTGATTTGAGGGGAGGGGAAAATGGTCCGACGGTGTTTTTGAAGGTGTTGGTTGTTGAGGAAAATGTTTAGTACTGATATGAATATGGATTGCTCAATCACTGAATTGCTACTAAATACCTCTCTTTCAAGACAGCTTCTTGAGAATCATATTCTTTACTTTGATCGTAAGATTACATCACCTGATATATATCTTAAGGATCTACGACCGATCGAATTAGATATGATTGTTATCAGGCATAGAGCACGTTTGTGTACAGTATTGGCTATTTTTGTTCATATCCAGTTCTTTCATCATACTGCACTTAAAATTGATTTCAGATCATTTTGACGAAATTAAGATGGTAAATGTTCTACTGTAATTTATCATTTTTTTATCGTCGTTGATGACAAGATAAAAATTAGAAGCAGTTTTGAAAAATGATACTCATGATTAGACAATAAGCCAATAACTTCTTGTATACACATGCACATCTTATTTTAACATTAAACCCTGAATTGATGGGATTTCTCCTCTCTTGGTGTGTTTCTGACTCTTGGAGAAATCTGCCTAGTAGTTTATACCTATGATAGGAATTATCATTCACTTTATAGTGCAGATAATAGTCTGAGCATGCGCATTTGTTACAAACGTTAGCTCAGCTACATGATTCTGAGCATTGCCTTCAATTTTTGTAAACAATGACTTTTTGTCGTTACTTTTGTGTGAAAAGCTCGTTGTACGTTTCCTAGTTACATGAAATGTCTTATAACGAAAGATAAAACGAAGCTTTATAAGAGAATGATAAAACAATTATTGAACTCGGTTCTCGCAAAATATCGTGATTTGTTGGTGGCTCGCAGATCAATTATTTCCCTCTGCCAGTTTGGCATCGGCACTGAATAATTGATCTGCTCGCCACCGACAAATCACGATATTTTGCTCAACCTCGTCCAATAATTGATAACTGTCTGTCATACGATAAAAAATTTCGCTGTATGCGCCTTTCTCGATGGTTCTATTGCTCCATCCAAGACAAGTCTTGATGTACTGAATGAACTGATGAACTAAATTAAACTAACCTAACCTTAACTAAACTCTAAACTAAACTAATTAGACTTAGATTTTTCTTTCAATACTGTGCATGGTTCTAATAAAAACCGCGACACAATTGTAAGTTTATCCCATGCAGACGTGAGTTCCTGTTCCGCTAGCTAACATAAATATAGGCAATATAAAGAACCCTTTCGACTATAAGTGTTAAGATATTGGTTACTGTTGATAACATTACCTCTTCAGAGAACTTATATTTATAGCCGTAACAAATAAACCGAGCCCTTCCTTTTACTGATGGGACATAATATATCGTGGGAAAATGCATGCGTGTTATCTAGAACTTTGCTTGAAACTGAGACTACCATATACAGAAAATTGTAAATTTACAAAAATGTGGAGATACTTTAGGCTGCAAGGAATCAAGGCATATTAATACTAATAAAGCGCTCTTTCATCTAATCATTTAGTCCCAATAAATTGCCAAGATCGTGATAGGCCATATATCCGCTCACAAAGCTTCCAGTATTTACAGTAAGTGTAATGTATAGTAGGGCGCTTATATATGTACTATAATAAGCGATTAAAGGTCTGATGTATATTTAATGAAGATTTGAGAAAAATATTTGTATCTGGGGAGAACGGTATCCATGAATATAGTCATAAATAATTTTAACTTAATTAACTGACGAGATGTTGTGCCAACATCAATCCAATTTTAACACTCATGCAGTTTAGTTAACATGTTTTAATTTTCGAAAAACCGGTCACTTTCCATCACTGCTATACATGCATTCACCATGCATGCTACTGATGGCATCTATAACAAACTAATTGCAGCCTTCGGGCATCTTTTATCTGATATTGAAATTCCTCGTCAGTCTACTGAATGAACCTGGATTTCTACTAACGTCTTGAGATTTTTCATGGAAAATTCCCCAATGTTTTAGGCCCGTTTTTCCACTATTGGCTATTTCGTTCGCACAAAGTGACTTTTCCCTTTGTCGCCATGTTCTCTTATAGCCATAATCTACAATCTTATTGCCATAATCTAAACAGTTTTCGAGGACGTGCAAGGGCAGGAACATTTCAACCTTTGTACGGAGTTCAGTTTAGATAAAACGTTTGGTGATTGAAAGGGAAAGAGTTAGAAATACAGTGAAAATACAAATGATGTAAGATTATTATTATTCATCTTATTTAATGGGGCCGTTAAAATAGTTACAAATATGAAAAATCTATTACACACTAAATATATATTTAAACTTAGATTGAATCACATACTGTATATAACTAGAAATAGTATGTCATGTTATGTTATGTTATGTTATGTTATGTTATGTTATGTTATGTTATGTTATGTTAACCCTCCCAGACCTAAAACTTGCTCCTTCGAATCAAAATCCGCCCCACAAGTGGTTGTCACACACTATTCCTCTCCAAATTGGTGAAATAGTTGTTGGTTAAAGTTTTGAAGTTACTTATGGAGAGCTCTTTATAGTTGCAGCACCTCGATATGAAAACGATTTCTTCATGAAGATTATCCTCAACTTACAATAATTATCCTCAACTTACGATAATTCATTATCTAGAATTTTGTATCTGCACTGGAAATCGGTGTAAACTTGGAGATGGTGGTTCCTCTCCACCGTGTATTCTCCGGAGGCTCGCCCTCGATGTATAGGCCTAAAATTCTGATAATATTATTCGAGACATGTGAATCATCATCAGAATTCAAGAAATTGCGAATACCCATTCCAACAAAATAACTGGAATCTCTATGTAATCTATTTTTCCTTATGTCAACGCGACATTTTAGAGACAAACGAGATTGCTTTCCAGTGATCTATTCCAAAGTCACGCCAGCTGTTCCTTTGATTGTGGTGTAAAGCATATGTTCGTACAAGATAATTATGCGTCTAAAAATCAGTCTTCCTTAATTAATTAATTAATTCTGTAAATGAGTTGGTGAACAAAAGGGCAAAGGTTAAAGGCATACTACTGCGTCTTGAGCTGTTTAAATATATGTTGACAAGTTTTATACAAATAACTTGAAAGAAATGTGAAGGCCACTCATGACAAATGGTGGTATGTCTCAATTACACAAGATTGCGCATTCGGTGACAGAATTTATAGAACGTCCAGAAGGTGGAGAGGTATATAGGATCCATTTCCCATATATACAAAGTTTCTCTAAATCCCCTCTCCCAGCCATTTTTTGACCAAATTCCAGTCCAACTATAAGATTGAAAGTAATTCAAGCGGATGGCTCACCTATATGTGATGAGCAAAAAAAATATATAAACCTGTTATTTTCTGCAATTAAATAGACTTAAGCCAGGATCAAACGAGGATGAGTACACATGAGAGTTTGCAGTCACGCGACCAATACTCACCCTCGTACATTATGCAATACACTTAGTAAATCACCGACTCGCAATATCAGAAAAATGACCACATCGAGCCGTAAATCGGTTACAGCTTTTTTGGACAAATTCTTCATCAAAAGTTATTAAACTTATTTCACTCTGAAATGCCCAACTATATAAATGTCTTTATATAATGGTATGCGGGTTTTTCCATTCCCATTTTTGTTCTGTCATTTTCAGTCCCAGTATTCAGTAACCCAAAATCTCATTTCTCCAGTCCCAACTATATGAAAATAAGCAAATCCCAGTTCCCATTTTACCTTTTCAGGACGCTCTTTAAAATATCTTATCACTGAATGTTGAAGTCTAGTGTCGGAGGCCCCGAATAATCGGTGACAAACAAAAAGATCCAGTTAGGGGCCGATTACATGGGCCGGGCTAGCCCGGCTGAGCGAGATCGGACTTTTAATTTACAATTACATGTAGCGGGCCATCCCGGTTAATTGTATTAACCGGGCTGAAGTAAGCTCATCATACTAAAAAGTTTTAATACTTGAATAATCCGCGTTGCTGGATATTAACTAAAGTAAAGAGTGTTTATATGTGGAATTTTAGGGCTTCCCTATATTGTGATTTGTATTCGTTGATGTATTTATATTAGGTATTGTTTCTAACGCGTTTTCTTTTCGTTTAAGCGTTTATTGATGCTCAATATTTGTGCTATTATTTGTTTACATTTTCAAAATAAAAACCGCGCGTTTGCAATTTTCTTTACATAGCGAATTTCAGCCCGGCTAGCCGGGCCAGTTCGGTTGCGACAGCCGCGGGCTGGTCCGGCTGCCATGTAATCGAAACTCAAAATTTATATGATTCAGGATGGGTATTGAAGCCTGTGCGCGGGTTTATGCTACACAATGAGCGATATAAGGCCGGTTTACACGACTGACAAGCTTTTTGGGTACGGCACCCCTAAAAATGGGCACCGTGCCAAAACTCCCACTTCGCTATTTACTCGTTTACATGACAATTTATTGTAGACACAATTTTAAAATAGGCCAAGCAACGTGCCCATGCCCATGGGTAAACGGCACCTCTACTTTCCGTTTACGACGGTATATATATTTTAAAGTTGTCGGACAGAAGTAGAGTTATATATTTATATTTATTGAAACGAAGAAGAGTATTACATCAGCCGAAAATCGAGAAGAAAACCCACTTCAATACTATAAAAGTACGTTAAAAGACGAAAGGAGTTGTTTTTTCGCGTATAAATGTTGTGTTATCTTGTATTCACCCGCGACAAATTTGAGAGGTATGGACGCATCCTAGTTGCCTATAGTTACTGCCATCTCTTTTACGGTAAAATTGAAGCCAAGAATATTCCAGCGGTTAACCATTTGAATAGATGGCGGCCATGTTGGAGTTCCCATTCGCACAGTAACTTTCATCATTTGAAAATGTATTTGGAATAGGTTTAACTTAATGTTTAAGCTCCCTGTTTAAGAAATAGGAAACATACGAGTCTTTTCATTTCATGGGAATATCCTGAGTCTGCAATCACGGCTTCAATTTTTGAATTGCAGAATAATTAGATGCACTATCTAGTGTATATAAGATATCTATGGTTACTGCTCTATTCAGCGACAAGTGGCATCAAAATTTCCGAGTAACTAGAGCAACATTCACAGCAGTGGCGTAATGCTTATTGGGTAGGGTTAGTTCAAACACTAAAGGCCCCGACAGTTAGGGGCCCCCATCAGCCACGGCCTATCGCCCAGAAAATTAGAAAACGTAAAAAATGCAGGTTAAGAATCAATGGGAAAATGCAAAATTATAAAGCCTCCATTGACAACGGTAGCTGATTTTGTTATTCCATCTCAAATAAAACAAAAGTTATTGTTATTAGTTGTTACACTAGACTGTTATTGCTACAGGCTCGGAATTTTCCAGAACATTGTATAAATATTCAATATAAATATAATATCTCAGTCAAACAATGTCAAGAGTCAACAGGGGCCCCTACACCAAATATGCCTAAGAGCCCCTCTCTTCCTGCAATTAAGTCTCAAGGTTCATATTTCATTTGGGCGTTTAAGAATTAGATTGCTTTATTTATCGGAGAAATTCTAGATATTTTTAAGTGCCTTTTCAAGATTTTTAAGGACGTTCTTACTAACATAAAAATTTTCTTCTCAGATTTGTTAGAAGATTTCATGATTTTTTTGAAATTTGGAGATCTTTGGAGCACAAAAAAAGTCCATCATCGTTAATCAGGCAATCAGTTTTTCAGAATTTTAGCGCCAAGAAAGATGCAGATATATATAGAGACATTAAATGTGCATTGAAAAAGTGGACTAGTCTCAAAATCTTACAAAACATGAGCAGTACATTATTCAGTACTTGCCAAATAAATGATCCATGAGAAATCGAAAAGTAACTTGATCTCTGCAAATGGAGTTTTATCTTTTTGGTCAATATTATATTGTTTGACCCTGAACCGTAGTTTAGCTAATAAAAACACAAGTGAAAGCAACTCTAGCTTGTACAAACTAATTATAATGCTCAGGAGTAATTGTGTCTCAAGTCAAATTTGACAGCAGCAACATCACTGCGTGTATAAACAAATCTCAGCTGCAAGCCTGTAACAAATCTGATTGGGTCATACTACAGGCCATTGTCATTGAATGAACATCCTCTCAAGCAAAAAGATATACGTCTGGTAAACTTGTACACTCACTGATCAACTAAAGGTAAACTATAGTCTATACTCTTTGTTTTGCGTTCGGTGGATACATAAACTACTTCCAAGAGAGCAACAGATAAACAGTGAAGCAATTAAATATTAATATAGTGTTACTAACATAACATCTGCGTATTTGCATGAATAATTTTCAAACTATGGTGTAACTATTTCTTCAAATAATTGCGTTATTGATTGTCGTAATATTGGTAAAGTAAGTTTACCCAAATATCCCTCGCCGTCAGGACATTATGTTGCAAATGAGGAAGGACAAACTCGAATATCTATGAAAACAATCACGGAGACTGTGAAACAACAATACTACTACTTTCTGTTGGGACTAAAAAGTTGGTACTATGTACTATCTTCAATATGTCTTAAAATATTCTTTATGTCTTCTCTGTTTTCCCCGGGATCTCTTTCATCTTCGCGTACGCAATTTTGAGCAGTCGCTCAACTTTCATAGAAGTTCACTGATGTAGGTCTGCGGATCGATCATTGGGTAGTGATTATAAAACAATTTTTCGATAACAATGTGCATGCAGTGACCAAATTGATCTATATAGAAGAACATTATGTATTCAAGTCTTATTCAATTCAACAGATTAACCTATCAGGATATAGGAGATCTCCTACGCCTATAGGAGCGTCCTGTTTTCTGTTCTGAGATCGTTGGTTTGGTCGTTGCTCTAGTCTGTAACTCAGTCGACAGAGTTGCAAAAAAGCTGAGGGTATGTGGGTACCACGTGCCCGTAAGGAAGATTTACCATATGCGAGATCAGTAAGGAAGGTTTAAAGGGGAACACTCTATACTCCACGCTAACACTATAAAACAAATAAATGATATTTAACTAGGTAGGTTGTGGTTGGCAAGATGCTGATGTTGTTCTACATGGTGACTATGTCAGTGATAGTACCGACACCAAATGGCTAGTAGGCCTAATGCTGGCAATAGCAGCTTTCTGCAGTATCGGCGGTTCTGTAGTATAATCGTAACATCTGCTAGCAGTCGCCAGCCTGCCACTGTTTGTCTGTAAGTGCAGAGTACAATGCAACTAACCAGGTGATCAATGCTAGTAGGTACTAGTCCGTAGAAAATAGGAATAAGAAGCCGATTTTGAATGACATAATTGTATATTTTGCAATTTGAAAAAGCCACAATTCACATTACTTTGAGGAAAGTTTCAAAATTTGAAATTTCACCCGGAGGAAGGTTGAACATTTTTTGCAACTCTGTCATGCAGTCAATACTCTTTCGTCGTTGACGTGGTTCAAGTTTTTTTCCCACGTATTCCGGTATTCAAGCCAAATGGCGGCTCCTTTTCGTTCAAACGTGGAAGAATCAACAACCGGGGTCCAGGCATTTGTAGCAATCCTAAATATTACCCTAAATCTTATCCTACACATAACCCTAACATTATAACATCTTGTAAACACGCTCTATAGTCCATCTCTTTCAGTCATTAGATATATACTGCACTAGAAGCAGTAGAAGTCACTATTGCAAGGTAAAGTGCCGTGCGGCCATATGAAAGCTATAGTATTCTGTAAACAATTTCAAAAATTTTAAGATTTTAACATACAGTGATACAGTGTGGAATTTACATATTTTTTTATGTTTACATGAAATATATTATAATCCAATGCAAACAAACATTCAATCAGTGTCGAGATCATTAGCTTTCAAATTTGAGCTATTATATGTTGAAATATTTACATATTTACACTTTACAGACTAGATAATTCCGAATATTCGGAATCCGCATAATTTTGCAACTTTGAGAACTTTTTGACTTGTTTTCAAGTCTGTAAATCCTGTTTTATTTGTATTTAAAAGGTTTCGATCATCAATAACATAATAATTATCTAGTCTGTAAAGTGTAAATATTTCAACATATTTTAAATAAACAGCGTCCAAATGTAATTCTTCAAACTCACCTCGATCGCTTCATTTTTTTTATTTTAAACACGATTTTCTAAAATTCAAACGTTTATAAACGTTAGAGAGTTCTCAACATTAAATTGCAAGACAACCATCTGCTCGTATTGATAGCAAAAAGCTACAAGAAACGATAAAAACTCACCCCATGAAACGATGCAGTCGTACTTTATGTAATAGTCCATATTATGTACTAATCGTAAAACGCACAGGTGACTGGTCAAAACTTATTTCGTATTTTAGAAATGAGCTCAAATCAATATTATATAATATATATGAAAACGTATATGAACTCAACACGTTAAAATAATTTTGACATAATTTACACATCAAAATTAAACAAAAAACAGGTGGGCCAAGGGTAGGCCATACACTGGGCCATGGCCTGGGCCATGGGCCATGTTTTACCTACACCCCACAGAACATACAAAACCGCTATTTAATGATTTGAAAATATTAAATATTTTCAAAATTCACGATTACCTTACCAGCTTATTTATGTACCGTTGCAACTATACTAATGATTTACCCGACATTTTTAATGGAACTTCATAAAAAATTCAAACATTCATGAACATTGCACGCGAAATTAAAAAAAATTGCATAAAGTTTATACAAGAACAAACTATAGAAAACAATCTGTTGTTAGTAAAGGTATTGATATTTGGAATAATTTAAGTACTGCAGAGTTAAAAATATTGGATCTTATATGGTTTTCAAAAAACGAATGTGAAAACATACTTTATATCACACCAATCAGCTAACTAATCGCCCTATTTTAATGTATAAAGTTTAAAAAATCTGAAAAATCTTGTAAATAGACTAACTTTCCTTTAAACACTCTCACGATTGTATCTATTTTCGTTATTATATTATGTACTATTTTTATGACATCATGAAATTATACTAAGTAAAAAAAAGTTTTGTTATAACTAGGGGTCTTAAAATAAAAGCCCAAAAGGGTTTCTAAAAGATCTCTAGCCCTATATAGATTATTAAAATGTAAATAGTTAAATTTTATTGTACTTTGGAAAATTGGGGGAAATGAATTAATAATTGTTGCCGAAACAGTGCGGGGCGGCACGGGGGCAACAGGTTGCCCTTTTTCAAAATTTCGAAATTTGTGTGTTATTCACATGAATTGGAATTTATAACTATTTTTAAGCAATGTTTAAGCAATCTTCGCTTAATTTTAACCAGTAAAGGCCTGATTCCACGGGCGCTTTTTCTCGGCGAAATGCGAAATATTTCGCCCGTTTCTTTTGAATTGCGACCACTCGAATAAATTATTTCTACTTGATTGCTCACAATTCAAAAGAAACAGGCGAAATATTTCGCATTTCGCTGAGAAAAAGCGCCCGTGGAATCAGGCCTTTATAGTAAAATTAATGCCAGAGGCCGCGGAATCACTTTTGTATAATTATGATCAAAATCAAACGATTTTATGTTGTTCACGAGCCGAACCGGAAAATTTTCTGAAAATATGGTGTCCCTATAACTTCGGAAATGGCCTTTACAGAGTCTTTACTACTGCAAAACGGGCACTTTCTTTCTAGTCCCCCAAAAGGGCATTTTTTCACTTTTAAAAAAGTGGGGAGGCACATGCCCCCATTGCCCCCCGGTTCCGCGGCCCCTGATTAATGCTAAATCAGGCAATATACGTCCGTTTAATTACTGATTTTATTTTGCGCACTTAACATGGTGCAACAAATAAAATTGTTCAAAATTAATGTCGAAGTTTGCCCACCCACAATAGCCACAAGTAATTGGGTATCCATACAATAAAGTTTTAACAAATATTGCCGCCCAGAAAAATGATGGCCCAGAAGCAAGTGCCCTTTTGAAATGGCTGCCCCCGCCGCTTCACATTGCTTCCGGCGCCCCTGATAATAATAATAAATAAATGAGTTTTCTCTGCTTGCGGATAAAATAAGCGAGAATACCGTGAGCGAAAGATCGCATCGAAGCACACAAGAGAAGGAGGTCACCGAATGAAACTGTCTAAAATATGCAGATATTTTAAAAGACTGAAAATGTAGTAATACACTGTAGTGACATTTTACATCCTGAGAAATCGGGTTATTTTCATCGCACCCCATTATTGCGAACTCCCGCTATTACGGACACCAAACTACGGTCCCCACAACCTCGGTCCCAGGGTCCCCTGGGAACGAGGTTGCGGTCCCCAGGATGTCCGCTATAGCCATGGGCGTACCGGAAGGAAAAAATTAGGGGGGCGGAAAGAAAATTGCCCGACTTTTCGGATTCTACCCGACTAGTACCAAAAAAATTTTTCCGGAAAATTTTTTTTGGCGACCCCCCCCCCGTCGCCAAAAAAATTTCGGTCAGTGTACCATTTTAGGGGTCAAAAAATTTTCCGGACAACCTATATTTTTCGGAACATAACACAAATTTTCGAAAAATCACAAAATTTGCGAAAACATTGACTTAATTTTAGACAAAATTTTCTGAATTTGTCCCATTTTTTTTTTGCACACCAAAATTGCCCGACTGTTGATCGAATATTGCCCGACTGCCCAAAAAACTGGGGGGGGGCTGCCGCCCCCCCCCCCCGCCCGGTACGCCTATGGCTATAGCGAGAATGAGTTGACTATTTTAGAGGCTGATGTAGCAACATTTCTGGCGACTACAGACTGTGTATACATCCAGCTGTACTGTTATTGGCAATGATGCTTCTTCTTACCAACATTTTAAACATTTATATTTCAATAGAAATCATTCTTTAGTGTAAAGCTGTCAAAGGGTCATCTTGAAAAAAATTATTTGGAAGAACAAATACATGTCATTTGAAAACCTTGTTCATTTCAACATGGGGGTCCGGTACTCTGAATATAAAATTAATGATAAATTATATAATTAATTAATTAATTAAAGCTTGGGAAGGCCCTTCGTCGGGAAGTTAGTAGACTACTAGTTTGGCCTACTAACTTCCCGATAAATTGCCTTTGCTCGAAACATCGAAGTTTTGCTTGTATTTTTCAGGTAGTTGAATCTATTTTACTTCTATTCATTGTCAGAAATAACCGGTTGTAATTCTAGGCGCCAATTAGGATTCATGAAACCCAACCAATTAAACAGCTGATAAACTTTAACCAATCATATCATTGTGTTCGCAGAAGTCCGCATTTGGCTTTTTTTTCTTCTTTTGAACAAAAAGTTTTTTTGTAGATTTTGGCATTTGGCAACGGCATTTGCCTCCGAGCATGCGCAAGAACCTACCAACCCCATTGACCAACCCTGGCTGGCACAGTTCGAGTTTATATCACAACAGATAAAATGGCTTCCACACTCGATATCTACTGTTTTTTTCGGACGTTTTGTGCACGGCAAGCAGTTTTAAATTAAATATCAGACATGCTTTCAATCGCTACTAAATGCAGTCTTAACAGGCTTTGCATTCGTTTACTTAAACCAGAGTAGCAAACGAAAATATGCAACCTAATTAAAAACACTCAGCTAGGATTTTAAAATCCAATTCTATGTTCTATAGGCTATAGGTCGTTTCACGCTACTTTGCGATATTTTGTCTGGATAGCGGTGATATGGGGGGGGGAGGGAGGGCTTCCCATTTTCCCACGTTTTCGACCAACCTGCCCGCGGGTTTACAAACAAAAACATCCAGTTAGAATAGAGTTTATCTTCATTCATTAAAGTAAGTTGTGCAAGCATGTACGATTCAGGATGGGTCAGTATTGAAGCCTGCGTGTGTACTTATTGCAGGTTAGCATGTGCGCGTTTTATGATATACAATGAACGATATTAACTTGAGTGCAAGTTGTCAGATCAGTGTCAAGATCGTTAGCTCTAAAATTTGACCTATACTCACATTGCAAAAGACATACTGTCACTAGTTTCGTTTGTTGTTAAAATATTGAGATTGTAATATCATAACTTAAGATTGCAATATTTGGCCATTATTTTCACGCAGCTCTACGATATAGCCTGCATAGCGGCGTTGCAGGAGGGGAGAGGGGGTCTTTCCTATTTCCCCCTTTTTCTGCTCTTTTTCTCTCCTTCACCCTCCCCTAGTGCCGCTACGCAAGCTAACTGCTATAGTGTCATATATAGTGCAGTGAGTCTTAATGCAATATTTCACTGTCAAATATAACTATCGTTCAAGCATGTCAGAAATATTGGAACAATTAATGCCGAAATGAAAGATCATTCGAAAATTAGCTTAATCAGATTGGAGAAAAATTGTACTGGGCTATTTCTGAACCCTTGAGTGAAATTTGAGACATGTTTCGTGATACTTGTTACGTCACCATAAATATACAATTTGACAATTTCAAATTGTTTCGTGAGTGCGTGCTTGAAAAAATATCCCTGTAATTACGTACAAACAAGTTTTGGACTAAATGCCTTTCTAGCCCAAACCAAGTTGTCAATTGCCAGGGGCGTAGCGAAGCATCTGAAGTTGGGAGGTGTCGGAGATTTTACATGAAATTTGAATTTCAATGATAAAAATTTACCTGAAATGTATTAATTTTAATAGAGAATATTTTCGATTGATTTGAACTGTCATACTCAGTTCCTGAAGAAGAGGGGAGTCTGGGGGTCCTCCACCAGAACATTTTTACATTTTTGAAGCTCCAGGACTGCATTTCTGGCGTTTCCTAAAGCAAATTCGCAAACGAATTGGATCTAAATGGACTGTATTTTACAAGAATGGTTATCATTTCACAACTGAAATAACGAATTTTATCTGAGTTTCACAGTTGGAATGGTTTACACCCCCCTACACCCCCCGGTCGCTACGTCCCTGCTTGCAAAATATTAAGATAGCACAACTGCACTTCACAAAATGCGCCGTCCAATGCCATATGTGATGGATAAAAAGCCATTCATTTACGATTTAAAAGCGGGTTTTACTTGGCTTAACACCAACTTGTCAGCACTTTACTATTCGGATAACGCTACAGACGATAATATGCTGTAGTAATTTGAACCAAGCGCTTTTTACAGACAGTAAGAAGTACAACGGTGCAAGAAATGTCTGCGAATACTAAACACCATTAGATATGGTATAATGAGATTGTTGAGTATTTCGTAGAATTTAATGATCAGAGAAGTGGTTGTCTCGTGCTATAGAATTACTAAAGCGTGATTTCCAACCAGCGCCAATCAGTAATTCCAAGTATGTTCTCCCCTGTGTTATCACGATATAATAGTCGTTAATATGCCTAATCATCTTTCTGTGTGGCGTAAAATTTCAATTCCACATGTTTCAGGCCAAGAAGTCCGTTGGATATGGATAAATTTGTAAAGCCGTGGAGGAGTCGAAGTAAGATTGTGTCCAATACTGGTACAGCACTTTGGACTCCGAAGGTGAGTAATCATTAGTTGTATGCGGAAATTGGACAGTCAGATAATGGCTTATAGATCTCAAAGTGATACAACCAAAGGAAGCCGAAAATAGATTCAAAACAGTTTCCTTGTAAAGGACGTTTACACTGGTTGTTTTTCTTGTGATTAGGTGTCTTGCAACTTGTCTCAATTTTAATGTTGCAATTTTCTCTTTCGTACGTATGTGATAAGTAGATTTATACTCGGATTTCCTCAGGAAAGGATTGTATTATTTTTGCATTGTTCAATTTTGAATTCTTGTTCTTTAGCCGCAGTAGAAAAACTAGAAAGAAGTCACTAATGAGTAATGCAGACATCAGACATGCACAAAGCTTCCAATTCTACATGACTCGAAAAACATATTCGTTTTAATTTGTTACTATGCATGCGTCTTGGCATTTTAGTGACATGCAGTCAGCGGAGTAGATTGGATTGATTGGAATAAGAGAAGACAAAGGAATTTTCGGTCATGCCGGAGGTTAAAAGGACAAGGGCTTAAAGACATTCTACATTTCTTCGTGAATTGCAGCGTGGACATGATAAGACACTCGTATTGTCTCGCATAATTTTGAGTATAGAATCCCTTAAATTCCATTTCTCTCTGTTCTTTGCACGATCACATGTAAAAACCTCAATTAATAAATTAGCACTCAGCTAGTAGAGTCACATTGAGCTGTTAGCTAGCTAGCCCATTCTTTTTTCTATTTTCCAAATTTTCCCCAGGATTGTTTAGTGGTATTCTACAATATACATGAAATCTATGCATGCAGCCTGTATGCATAAAGATGCGATCCAATTTATTTATCATCTGAAATCTGTCACTCTACTGCTGAAAGATGTTCAAAGATTATCCTCATGTATGCAAGTGTCAAAGACATTCCTTATATTTGCTTCACTGATTAACTGTCCTATTTTCAAGTTGTTAAACGTAAAATCGTACGATTCGGTGAACGTTAATGTTTAAGGGGCACAAATATCTCTGGTTTTGGGGAGAGCTGGGACTTGGGGGATATCCCTTCAAAGTCAAAATACTTTAATAATACGCAGTAGATTTTTGTTCTGAATCCTAATCAATTATTAAAAAGGGAAATGGCGGAACAGTAAGTGATTGTGGCCATATCCTCATGTTTCGCCCACAATATTTGTTATGGATGGGGCTGTGATTAGTATAGTTGATACAAAAACACGAGATACCTTTTTTCGAGACCACGACCCTTTTTGGTAAATGGTAATATAATCCACCAAACTGGATGAATAACACATTCCATTCCATCTCGCCTTAACCGGAAAAGGAATATCATTTTGTGTATCCGGACTTCACAAGATTTTCCTACCAAGCGTAAAAACTTATTCCTCATGTTCTTATACTAAAATCGAAAATACGTCGTTTCTGTAAATCATTATCAACCGTTTTATATGATATGTGACTTGATATGATCGAAGTATTTAAGAGACTACTTAACAATTAATTCTGTCGTCCAGTCAGATATTGATTTTCTTTGATATGTGAATGATTATGATCTATGACGTCATAAACGCAACAGACAGGTTTGATACAAAACAAAACAAGATGAATAGTAGAGCTGTCATTTACAGCTAACATTTGAAGCGAGATGTTTGCTGTGCATTGTAAGCGAAACATAAGCTTAATTAATAGCCTTAGCTAATATTTGGAGACTGTCTCATCATATATTTCGCGAAATTGTCCGCTAATAAAGGATAGTATTCCTCGTTCCTTCAATAAAGTTGTCCGTGATGTTACTTGATGTGATAAATGCTGTACGTAACAACATATGTGTTATATATGCAAATGATTTAGTGATTTAATGAAATTTGGCAATTACGCCACAGTTACCCCAATTACGGCGACCCCTTAATTACATAATTACATTAGCATTAATAACAGTACTAGTCTAGACAGCATAACAAACTTACAAAATGACATCAGACAACTAACAACATCTTAAAACACCAGAGAACTGGCCTTTCTACATTGAACACAAACAGGGTACGAGGGTCATATAATATCTCTTTAATACTTTTAATGTATACGTATTTCATGAGCTATAGTAGCGCTCGCTCGATTCATGTAATTAATTATTTTCTTCTTTTCCAGGGAGATTTTCGTTGGTGTTCAGCGGCCAGTCAATCAGTTGTTCTTACGGAGACCAGTATATTATCATTATCTAACCCAGAACGTCGCGCTCTTCAACGTTTGGCTTTGCTTAAACTTCAAACATTGAGTATACAGTGTACTATCCCAGTTAACAAAGGTATGAAACAAGTCAATATATGTTCGGTTGGATAATCTACCCGACTAGACTGGCGGTTATAACAAAATACAATATGGTGTTTTTAGGTGAAGGAAAAAATTTTGGAAAAAGACTAAGAAAATCTCTAAAAGGTCGCAAAAGGACGAATGCAGAGAGTGGGTCAACATTACTTAGCAAATTCACTGGAGGTAAGACTTGCGTCGCAATTATATAACGCCTCATTAAATTGTCGTCATTTAATTGGATGATTATGATCACGTGATTTCATAAAAGACCATTTTCATGTTCCTGAAATGGGACTTTCCATTCCATTGAATATCCCAGCCGCAGATTTTTGTGATTTGTTCGTCATTTTTTAATTGTTAAATTAATTTTGAAAATTATACAGTAACTTAGTTTTGTATTTTTTGTGGTCATATTTGGTATATATCTGTTTTGGTTCCATATAAAACAAATAATGAATGTTTCCATTCGTGTAATGGTAAACTATGAATATTTTTATTCGGTGAAATATGGAATTTTCCAATTATTTTACTATTTTACCATAAATATTCATTATTTGTTTAGTATATATTGATCTCAGGCTATACTTATTCCTGAAATCAACCATAATATACACTACATGAAATCACTACCGACTTTTTTGAAACTACCTAAAAACCATAGGAATAACACGATAGGAATTTAATACAACAATGAATATTTATGTGTTCGTCCAATATCCATTTTTAGGAAAAGGTAGAACTGCTGTTTTCGCTACTCCACTCGATATGGTCCTAAAGAATGACAGACTGGCTGCGGCAGGTGTCAGTACAATTCCACGACAAGCAAGAAGGAAAAGTGAACCAACAGCACTGTCTCCTGAGACAAAAGAGAAACTTCCTCGTAGGAGACGAGCTTCATCTAGCACACCACCAGCAACATCTGCATTGAAGCGACAGCAAATGAAACAATCTAAGTCTTACGGTGCCTTGCAAAAAAATTCCGTTTCGACTTCAAGTTTAAAATCAGCTAGTTCTTCCATAGATGGAGATTTTAGCAAGCCAAAAAGGCATAGTGACAGTGATTCTGTTCTCATATCAGATCTATGTCCTGAACAAAAATCTATTGGTTGGAAATCACAATTACTTGATGCTCTTACTTTGTCTTCGACATCAGCATCTGCATCCTGTTTGCTGGAGAAACCTGAACTGCCAATACCTTCTCCACCTAAAGTACCATCCATCGTCGTGCAGTCTATTAAATACCTTGAAACCCACGGTAGGTTATATTCGTCCGAACTATTATAAAATACATGGAAGGGAAAGTGAATAATTTTACGTATAGATTGCAACAGAATGTTTTAGACCTACTTCATGATCATGATAACAACAACACATTTCCTCCAGGATTGAGATGTACCCACATTGTATTCTTCTTTTTATTATTTACTACATTCTAATTACCCAACTATGGTACAATTATTTCATTGATTTCGTTAATTGAATGCACTGCTAGGACACGCTTGGGAGCGAATTTGAGAAAATTCCTTGGCCAAAACGAGTCACGAACGAACACTGCAGGTGACTTTTGTCTAAGCAAGCCAATTCACAAATTCATTTTTTTAGGTTGGTAAAATTTTTGCATGAATGCAGATTTTCTTTCTTCGTCGCAAAACAACAACTACAAATATTTTATGTCTGTTTCCTCCCATCGACTTCGTCTCGAGAGACATTGAGACTCTCGAGCAAACAAAACTACTTGAGCTATTTCCCTTATTTTGACAGAAAACATAACCTTATTAAATTCGACCTTTCTTCGTTTTGCTTGAAGGATTACACGCCCTAGGGATATTTCGAGTCGCTGGATCAAAGAAAAGATTAAAGCAGGTATTAAACTTTCCTCTGACGTTACTTGCTGTACAATTGCATGTAATGATTATTTATTCATTGCCCCCGACGCCCACAAACAAATGTTGCCTGTCACAGTACAATAGCTTTAACTGTATCCTGGGGGTACAATCAATGTTAATTGTTGAAGGTTAGGTGGGGGGAGGGGGGGGGGTGATTTCTGCAATAATCATTATACGAACACTGATCCAACAATTGGTATAATGCCGTAGATTACAATAGGCCAGTGCCTGCCAGCATTGGTATTTTTCCTCCTTGTTTGAGTTATATTATGACGCTCAATTTTAAACTGCTTTGCAATATCTTTGGCCACTAGATTCCAAAGGTTGATTCTGCACATGCCCTTTTGTGTGTGTGCGTGTGTGTTAAGGGGGGGGGGGAGAGGTAGTTAGCCCAAAGTCACGTAGTTTCAACCGTCACAGATTGTCACAAGGGGTAGAGGGAGTCAAATTTCGGCCCAAAAAGCATCACGTATTTTGTGTATGGCTCCATATACCATGTCGCTTCATCTTTGCATTGCAGTATCTAGTGGGGAAGAGACTAATCTAGTGAATATTTTTAGTTACGTGATGATTTCGACAGTGGTTTGAGAGAGGAATTCTCTGAAGAAGATAATGCACATGACGTGGCAGCGTTATTTAAGGAATTTCTTCGTTGTTTACCTGAACCTTTAATGACAAGAGAGTTGTACACCGCTTTTCTCTCTACTCAAAGTAAGCATTATTTATAGTCTAACAGTGGTTTCGAAAATAATATTTCGTTCCTATAGAAAATATTGACACCAACATATTGTACATCTTTCTTTTATCTATACTGTATAGTTGTTCTGTAAATCATTTTACAATTCTACTTCTTTAATTTTTAACTGGAGCCTGGAGTTACAACGAATTGAACGAAACTGTAATATGCATGATGATAATCTAAAAAAAGGTGTTGTACTCCAAGTAAAAAAATAGGAAAATTATCGGCAGCTATGTTTGTATGATATATACAGTATAAAACTCTCGTACTTACAAAGAATCTGAAATATAAAATTTTAAAGGCTCAAAAAGCTCAAGAAAGCTTTGGATTGATAGGGATGCAACTACCTGAAAAATACAAGGAGACTTCATATTATTGGCATTACCTACACTGGCACAGAGCAATCATTATATCAATTTTATGCTCAAGCTTAAAATGCTCAATAATTATACAGTACTCGGCCATAAGGAAATTTCTCATGAGATAAGATATAGCAAAGCAACCTTTTTGTAAATAACACGGTTTTTAAACCACACTATGTATATCTGGCTTTATCCAATGAAGACCTATTATCCTTACATTTTCAGGATTTCAAGACACGGAAACACAGTTGAATGCTTTGAAATACTTGTGGTATCTACTTCCTGACTCCAATCGCGATACCCTACAATATCTACTCTGCTTTCTTAGTAAAGTCGCAAAATATGCCGAGGACACGACGGATGAAAATGATCAAATTGTAAGTTACCGTTTAAGATGGTCTTATTCTTGTAAATAAAAGTCGAATTCTACCCAGAAACTTTGTACCCATGCAGCAACAGGTTTGGCTATTTCTGTACAACTGAACCGATTTGAAAGTTTAGTTCAAATATGTACCTTTTTCATATTCTTAGTTATGCATTGGCGCATTAAGGATAGGATAATTGTTGTTTTGTTTAGGTTCCAGGCAATAAGATGAACTGTAGAAATCTGGCAACGCTAATGGGACCAAATATCCTCCATAAGGTATCGCAGGCTAGAAATGATTTCAGAGAATATTTACTGTCGGTATTTTGAAGCAATAAACAACCATATTGGATATAATTGATTAAAACCACTTATTCCTTTTAAAAATTCACATAGTATCCATTTGCTAAGTTCCCTGTTTCAAAACAAGTTCATTGTTAACTGAGTGTTGAGTGTGTGTCATGGATGTGTCACGTGTCATTGCGAAACGTCGTTTCAAGGTTATTCACAAATACTGCATACACTGAGAATATAGGGTGATATCAAGTTTGACTAGTTAATGTACTGACTTCAACTTTGCAATATATTATTTCTTTCGATGGCTGGAACGTTTTTCTCCAATAATGCATGACCTTGTCCATCTAACCTGCGCGTAGTCTCATGACATCGATCAAACGATTTTTTAAGTTTAGATGACTGCGCTCATGCTATGTCCATGAGGGAGGTAATTAACAAGTTAACGTATTTTCAATGTAGGTAAAAAGCCCACACTTGCAGAATTTTGTTGTGGAGAACTTGCAACGAGCTGAGGAACATGACGAAGTCATTGACGTCATTGAAGACTTGATTAACTATCACGATAAACTGTCTACGGTATGTAATCAGTTACTTTGGTCAATTCAGGGTAAACATCAGGATACAATTGACCCTCTGGCAAGAATCGAACCTGCCAAAGGGCCTGTACATGCAGTTGCATTGTTCCACAGCTGCTCCTTGTTCGGTCTAAATAATTGTATAAAATTTACATCGAAATTTTCATCCACGAGAAATTTCCATTTACAAAATTTCCATCTACGAAACTCTTAATTCAACATTAGTTCAAGATTATCCCGTTTAGCAACTAATGAAGGTAACAAGTCACCATCGATACAATATTCTGAACACAGTAGTTATTGTATGTGCGTTTAGCAACTAATGAAGGTAACAAGTCACCATCGATACAATATTCTGAACACACTAGTTATTGTATGTGTCAAAGCGGGGCCCTTTAGCACAGAGTTACGCCACTGAGTATGATTATATTAATTTTCTACTCATTCCAGGTTTCACCAGAAATGCATGATCAAGTTATGAGGTTTCTGCTCCAAACTGAACCAGAAACTGTTGACTTCATTCTACGACGAAAAGCTAAAAGTCATCTCGGGTAAGATTCAGGAAGATGTTTTGAATTAGAGTGTTTTATGCGTACGATTTGTTGGTTCTGCTCGAAAAACAACCATGCTGGTATGATCCGCTGTGCATTCCATTTTCGAAGCAAATATTGTAATCAAGGCTATAGAACAGGCTATATAACAAGGCTATAAAGCTTTTATCCAGCACTTCACACACAGGCTAGCCAGTGTTATATATTTTGAATCATCGATCGCCCAAGAGACTTTTGCATTCATTGCATACGCCCACTCCCTGTTAAGAAATCTCCGCGAAAGCTCTGCATGAATTGTTACTGTGAAGCCTGGATTATACTTGCAATTATGGTCAATTATTTTGCAACGATTACGATTAACATTCCTATAGCGCAAATTTACATGTGAATATGATCAAAAGTGCTTTACATCAAGTATTACGCTTACCTATAATTACTTATTTAGCCTAGACTATTTTATCTACAATAATTGTGATATTACTTTCTTAACTGTTTTTATCCTAACCCCTCCCTATTAAATTTCCCTTTGGGAGAAAACAGGGGCACCCGGGGAGAAAACCCACGACTTTCGGTAGAGCATTGATCCATGAACTCAGAGTTTAAAGTTGATTTGATGACTGCGCTATCAAAGCCTTAAAGAAGAAGGCCAAAATTTTAGTGTTAAAGGTATATATAAAAGGGTTGCAACAAAATTCATTTCAGGAACATCTTTATATTCTTCATTTTTTGAGATACCTTCTTATCTGTGTAAATAATATACTGCTAAAATCTTGGTCAATGCCATATTTACACTAGAAAATATACTTTTATTAAAATTTGTAGAATAAACATTTGAAACCGAAGAATAAAGATTCCTACATGAGGAAAGTATTTATGAATAAACAAATGTAAATTTTGTTTTTTCTTGTACTTGTAGGGAGGATATTGAGAATATCATTAAAGGAAGCAGCGATATTATCAGCGAAATAGATGACAAGGAAACCAACGCTCGTTTACAACACCGTGTTAATAATGCTTATGATTTAAAGAAAAGCACGTCACGTGCACACAGCGTGCCTGCAAGTAGTAACAGACACTTCAACTCAACTGACAGTGTTCAAACAGACGCACACAACCATCACAGGTGCGCCTCTGTTGACGCACAATTTGTTAAAACATATGGTTTGAGTCCTTGTAATTGCTCAGGCGCGCACGGAGATCTCAATATGCGGAAGCAAAGATCTTACGTGAGTAGCGAACCAGCAACACCAAAAATGAACACATCAATGTCGTTTAGTTATTCCCCACCTTCTCCAAATATTAGCTCGCGAACTACATCAACTGGTAACTCCCCAAACAGCAGTCTCAGTTACTCACCTACGGAAGTCACATATCATGACTGTAGACTGCATAATTATTCCACTACACAGAATGGAAACTCTATCTCCACAGATGATACATCGTCTATAGCGGAAAGCAGGGGGGAGTCGGATGTAACGAGCGAAGACTTTGACGATGTTGATATGACAAAGCAATGGCTAGAATGGGAGGCATTAACTAAGAACTTTGACTATACTGCTGATTTTCTAGATCAAGAAACACTTGTTTGAGTGAAGATATTAATATTTGTGGTAATATGTAAAAATATACGCAAAATGCACATCATGAAAAGTCCTGCCATCAATCAATATCTAATGGCAAATATAAGAAGAGGATGCCTGGATTTTGGATAAAATGGACGCGGGCAATGGGCATGACATGGATTAATGTGGATTCCACTGATATGAATTAATGTGGATTCCACTGATATGGATTAATGTGGATTCCACTGATATGGATTAATGTGGATTCTACTATATTAATTTGGCTCTTGAGAGTGCTATTGTATTCAATAAAATATATACAATTTACTGTATAAAATTATATGTACAAAGGTGACAGAGATGTGTTCGTCATGTACAAGGGCAAGGTGAAAATGCAAAACGCGATGATCGAAGGTATATAATGGTTCATTATCGTTGTCTTTACGATATTGAGACCCAAAACAATGATGCTACACAGCGAGAGAAAGGTCACTGCGTTCATTTCTGAATCACAATCTTTTTCGTAAATGATCCCGATCACCAAACATACGTTTTCTGAAGTGAGCTGTTTGTGCCGTTTGCCATGCATGCAAATACACTATTAATAGAGACTTCCCTAATTTTCTGGCTGGCAATGAAGACTACTTATTTGCAATGAATTAATTGTCCACCTCGATTTCAAGCTATTGTTTCGTGCGCACTCAAACAAGTGTCTATTAATCATTAAAATTAACTAATAGTCAGGTGACCTCTCAGGTGAAAATGAGGCTCTAGAAATATTGAAACGAGTTTGAAAGGAGCATTGTTTCAAACGGCCACAAAATTAGGTCACAAGATCAAGAAACGTTTGTCGAGTCCAACGATAAGTGCATTAAAGGTAATATAGCTATGAAATTCAAGCCTGTTTGGAGAGAAAGAACTTGTAAAACTGCGAAATAAGTTATTTTACAATTTTTCTTTACCTCTTGTCATTCTTGAGATATTTTAGTTTGTTTGATATGCAAATGAAACACATCTTTGTCGTCACAAGCTGGTACAGTATTTTCAAAGATGGAAGTCACGCCAAACTCATAAAAGCTCGCAGTTCAAAATAGATCAAATCATTCAAATCTATATCGATGATTCAATTGACTAATCGTGCATACAAAAATATGAAGTTTTAAGGGTCCTGACTCCTGTGGACTGTCAAAAAGTTGACCCCGCTTGAGACGTCATCTGATTTTACGTATGAAACGAACTGAAATATCGTCTAACCAAGGACAAGGGATTTTGTAAAATGCCATATTCTACATTTTAAGTTCTTGCAAGTGATTGCTCCCTAGTTATTAATTCTGCCAATCTAAACGTGTTGTGTTGAAATATTTGTTAGCTCCTTATTTGTCAAATCGTTTGCATCGGGTTTACCCAAATTGAAAATATTCTGAATATTCTGAATTAAAGTTTTGTGAAAGAAACAGAATATATACAGTAATTGTTGGATTGTGACGGTAAGAATGACGGTAACCACGTCTTTCAACTTCGATCAAGATCGAGTGAATATAAAATTTACAGCTTGATGTATTGAGTTTGTTTTGGTGTAGCTTTCAGAGCCGAGTTAATCGATTAATACTGATGTAAATAATTTAGTTAATTAATAAGTTTACAGTTTTTAGATTAAACAAAATTCAACAAACTGAAAAGTGAAACGCTGTTACCTGATAACTGGATGATGAAAATCTGAAAAGAAATGTCCCAATTAAGATTTTTGGTTATAACTTTAATTAATTTGGTTTCCCGGAAATTCCCGCTACATGCACCCCAATTTCTAGTGTTTCATTCACAAGCTTTTTTAAATATGGATAGACCAAAGCATAATACACTAGTTTTAAAGTATTCAAATTTGGATAATGTCGAACTCGGGCTATAATTCGATTCCATGCAATCTGAACACTAGAAACTTTAAACTCAGTTTGGCGCCCATTAAGTTTGATGGGACATTTACATAAGTGTATAAATTAATTTCGAAAGTTTTCGGAGATTCTATTAATTAAAATATTATGACATCGCTACATATATTTATACCGTTTATCACTGCACACTAAAATTAGATATGATACCAGGAATATTTAATTTTTCATTAATAGCAGTACTAATAACACAACAAAATTAAGAGGGAACAAGCACTATGGGCCCAAGTACATGTTTCTGTATTTTGTATTTGAAAAATGTACAATAGACAAATTTGACGAACGTTGTTTATACAATCATTGGCATTGCTACCCAATTCCGATAACTTTGGATAACTCACATGCGCATGCCTAGTAGTTACGATTGTTCTAGTTTACAGAAGCATAGAATGGAACGAAGGTATACGTATAACTAAGCATTAGAATTATTAGGTTGCCCTCGTACCCAGGCTATTTTCTCTCACGCTCTGGTGTCACGGCCGGTATAAGAGTTGTTTACTCATGTAGATAATAGACCTTATGCATAATGACGCCACAAGGCTTCATGCCCGCGAGGAATGCTGGTCTTAGTAGTCATCGACCGGGAAAATTTCCATAGTGTCCATTTTGGATTGTTTAATTTTCCCGGGCGATGACTACTAAGACCAGCATTCCTCGCGGGCGTCAAGCCTTGTGACGTCATAATGCATAAGGTCTATTCTAAAAATCAGTTACCGACTTTGTTCTATTCTATATGCTTCGTTGAACTATAGAACAATAACCGACTAGGCATGCGAGTTATCTAATTAAAGTTGTGAATTGGCTAAGAGGTCGGTGTTAATTAAATATCGTTTATTATTATACAGTCAGTGTCAAAGTTTAATTTCCTGCTTGCCGATTGGACAAAACCCTATCACGTGCCGGTCCACAAAACGTCATGTTCACTACATGCATTGGTGAGGGGCAACCCGCAACCGGTCAATAATAAAATCGGAAGTGAGGTGCAAGAAAACAGCGTGTTTTGTGGCCCCTCTGCTTCACCCCGGGCAACAACAGCAGTCTCGGGGCACAAAGCACACTGTTTCCCTCGGTCTCAGTAAACAACTGATTATTGTTATATAGTTAGTGTCAAAGTTCAATTTTTCTGTTTGCCGATTGGTCAAAACCGTATCACAAAAATTCTCCAACTTGACTCCTGTGTTCCTGCCCCCTTGGCGTCGTTTGCTGCAAAGCGCTATCCACCGGATAGTGCTTTTCCAATCGTGGTAAAAAATCATGAAAAGCTGTGAACTAAAAAAAGAAGACATTTTATAAAAAGAAACTATAATTTATAAATTTTAATCTGGGTTATACCAATCAACGGGCAATTTTAAAAAGCTTAAAAAGTCACCAACCAGAGGATGAAAAATTTATATTATCTGTAAAACTACAAAGATCTTATCTTAATCAACTGTATGCACTACGGTACCCTATAATCTCCGCATTAGATTTGTTCTGTTTCATTATATTTACTGAAATTCTGTTGACTGAGCTGTATTCATTTTGTACATACAGCACAAGTCAACTCATGTCCATTGATGTATGGACCACACGGCAAAGACCCACAGTATGCTTCAGCGAAATATAGATAGCCACTGCTAGGACCTTGATACTCAGAGCCTCCAACAGTACTTCCAGGATCTTTATCAACACAGATAAACTTGGTCCGGCCTTTGTGACCGGCATTCGCTGACATTATATAACCTTTATATTCCAACGTCCAACCAGCAGGACAGACATTGCGAGCAGGGATCATCACATGACTACCACGAGACTCAGTATGACACACAGCGCATGGAACATTGTGGTGATGTACCTTCCTTGAGAATATATTACTTTGGCCACTTGTCATATACTCCACACCGCACAGTTGCGCATTGTCTTGAAGACCAGGGGATATTTTGTCGAATATTGGATCGAGTGGTAGGCAGAGATAGTTTGATCCACCCCCACTATGACTATGGTATGATCTACTCATCACACCTTTAATAAACAAAGAAGAAAGACACTCAACTATCAAAGCCTTAAAATCCTATCTTGCTATTTGCATGGCGATGGCCTTAGTTAAACAATTGCTAAATTCTCTTTTTACACTTTTCCTTTAAATCTTATTTATCACTCATTATACCCAGTCCCTCTCATTTCCTACTCTTTCGTCCTTGTCATGCATTTCATGATAAACAACTACGGCTTACACTAAATGTATTTATAAACTTATACTTGTTTATAATGATTACTCTTGCGTGAAGATATCTTGTGTTAAACGTTATTAAGCAACTTGATTTTGTGATTAATTTTTGCGTACATTACCAGAATAAAGTTCAGTTGTATTGCCAGATTTTGGACAGTCATTTCTTCCCCAGCGCGTGTACACAGCACCGCCAGTCGCACCTCCTGCGTCTCCCTTTATCCCTTGAATTCCATTAGGTTTTGGTTTGCCTGGTGGTCCTATAATTTACGAAAAAGATGTTGCTTAAGGTGGCTCCCTAGGTAAAGAAACGCCTAGGGAGCCACCTTAACATAAAAAGCAATCTTCAAGTTTTGAGCAATTAACAAGAAAACAAGCTAAGACTATACTTAATTAATTAATTAATTAATTAATTAATTAATTAATTAATATACTTGATTTATCTACTCTAGCTTAGGGTCTACAAAAACGTAACGTCTCGACAATTAAATCATTAATTCATATTGCAACTGATTTACTACAATTTACTTAATACTGCATGTACATAATATCGATCTACTTTAACTTAATAGGTTTGTATACAATACGTAGTTTGGATATTCAAGTACAATAAATACAAAAAAAACTACTAAAAGTCTAACTAAACAATGTAAATGTTGTCTTACCCATTAGCGTTGCGTCTCGGCCGTCACGACCTGCCAATGTATGAAGGAAACAATTAACGTGTCATGTTGTACAGTTTCCGAAAGATGGTGAACAGACACTTCCGGAAAGTACAGCCTTATTAAGGTATCGGCTTTATATAAACGTCTTTTATACATAATCTAATATAACTGTATGATTTCATAAATGTGTCTTCCTGTAACGAAATAAAGGGCTCTAAACCCAAAATCTCAATCACGAAAAGGAGATTCTATAGCCAAGACTGAGTACTTTCCGTGCATATAACTGATATAAGTTATATAAAAAAAGGCACGATAGCATGTTTTAAAATTTAACACTATTTAATCATTTTTTTACATTTTACAATTTTACTTCTGGTAGTTATCAAAACTTAACTTTCCATCGAGTTTCAACTTTCTAATTTTATATAAAGGAAGTTCTATTATTAAGTAAGGGCCATAAGTTTGTTAGTGTTTCACGCACACTACTGTGTGTGTGCTACCCTCTGGAAATGAAGTATCTATCTATCTATCTATCTATCTAATGTGCAGGTTAAAACTTAAAACTTAAAAGCAAAGCTGGAAGAAATTAAACTGCGTACAAATATCACCGTCACGTTATAAAAACGGCATTACCATGCATGCAAACCTCGAGGCTACAACTGCATCACACTACGAATGCACGCGTAATGGAATTACATTATGATTTATGACTTCTACTGTTCTAGAGATCGTTTTTTAAAAAGATAAATACCGTCTCGTCCTGGAGTTCCTGGAGCACCCTGACATAATCTGCTTGTTCCTTGACCTTGCATTGCATTGCATGTCTGCTGCAACACAGGGAAAATTATTAAGAGTTTATAGAAATTTATTTTGCAATGAATAATGTTGTAGAAATTTTAAGAAATTTGGCCTTTTAACAAAGAAACTTGTTTCCTGTTTCAAAACTGTTTCGCACGTTTGTCTCGTTTGCAAATGTTTCAAAAGAAGAATGGTATAGAAGTTCCGTATCACCTCACTCACAGTCAAAAAGAACCATGCATGCATCTTACACAATTTACTTAATCTTTCAACTTGCAGAAGTGCATTTCTGACGCATTACAGTAGTTTCATGCAGTCACTTGAACTGTGACAACCTACCTTGAGCTGAAAGTGTATGTAGCCGTTTGGTTCACTGGCACTGCCATACTAAGCCAAAATATCTGAAAAACAATCAGTAATTGTTGCAACTGATAAGAAGCCATTTCGTCTGTCTTATATGACTGTGTGATTCCAGGAATGCAATGTTGAAAATTTTATACAGCTTTCTGTAGACCCCCACAGGAGTAACTAAATAATTGTCAAAACAAAAAGTAATAAATCACATCATGGATTTTCAAAACAAGTACCACAAAAGACCTGGACGGCTGGAACTTTCCATGAAAATATGCAAATTAAAGCCGCAAAACAGACATTCAATTACAATTTCCGGTATATTCAGACTACTATAGCTAGGGCACTCTCCCAGCCTTTTTGGCGCGAATACGTGCAAAAATATACGTAAGTCGTAACGCATTGTCGCATTGAAGGCTTTCGGAAAGCTCGATCATCACTAACAATGATTTTTCAAGAGTTAGTTATGTTCCGCACAGTACATCTTTATCACAACTACAGTAAATTAAAAAACTGAATTGAAAAGTAGATCTTTATTTGTGATGCAAAGGCACTGACCCAGTCCATATACCGTTTTTACATCTGATCTTCTGACTTTTTGTTGTTTTAAATTGAATATATACTTATACAGTACAGTATTGCATGTGTGCAAACAGTGAGGTGCGAATAAGATGTTACCACGAAAGGCCAATATTGACCTTTATAGGAGGTAAAAATAATATTTTTGCATGACGATGTGATGATTTTTATGTCTTCTCCGTATACGTGTCAGGTTCAAACGCGGACATGGACGAACAGACTGTGTCTTTTACCATAAAAAGGACGAGGTTGGTCATGTATTAAGTCATATCCGCGTTTTATCCTTTGGCATGAAACACGGATATATGGTTAAAACGAGCATGCTAAGCGTACATGCGGACATGCACTTGCCTGTTACTATGATTTATTAGAGATGTTAATTGATGCCTGGAAAAAATATAGACTAATTACACGAGGCAATAGATAGCGTTATCGGCCAAATTTCCGAGGAGGGGGCTAAATTTCCCAGGAAATATGTCCCCCGTGGAGCAAATTTCCTGGAAATATGGCCCGGGGAGGGCAAATTTCCTGAGACACATGCTCGAGGAGGAGAAAAGGGGCGGGAGGGGGGCTTCGTCATCCAACGAGGGATCGTAATTTACGAAAGTTAATTAGTGAGTTTGATGGGTTGATTTCAAAACTCGATTTTATACGGGGAATTAATTGAATAGTGGGGCCTTTTCGTGCATTTAGACCATACTTTGGTGTATGTAAGGATATTAGGTCATTGGACGTACGAGGCTAGTTATGAATGCTTATGATTTTTATATAGTTCGATCGATATAGGGGTGATCTTCAACCAAGTTATTAGTGATCTCGATCAAATTAGATGCCTGGATTTTAAAACTAAATAATTATAATGCGTGGATCTTCTTGATCATCATCAGAAAGTTTGCGATCAATAATAAAACCCACAATCCAAATTTTCAAAAAATTCAAAACAATGGTAACTCCGAAAAGGAACATTTTTAATGTGCACATAATTATCACATATATAATTAAGGAGATGCAACTATATTACCTCCATTTTCAGAACGCTTTGATGGGATCAAGATGGAAAGATGGTACATCTGGAAGGACATTTGATACCCAGATTAAATCAGACATGCAGCTTCTTCCAAATGACGAAACAGAAGATGAATCGTCCTACGTATTGGGGGCTCAGTGGTGCATTTGTATGATGCAAACGTGTCGCACAAGGCTTGCGTCAGCAGAGTGTTACGTGAAACGTCAGCAGAGTGTTGCGTAGATAAATACGAAGTCTTTACTATATTTGTAATGCCACTGATTAAAGGATCTTGCGAAAAGGGTGCCATGCATCATGCATGGTGTGGGGGCTTTCCTGACTCTCCCCCCGCAGTTCGTTCGATTCCAGTTGATAATTGAGCTCAGGGGCCGAGTACATATCGATATTGGCTGCGGGGAGGGGTGTAGTCCCAAAATGCGACCGATCCAGACTGACTCGGGGTGGATCAAGCTTGAAAGCTGACTGTGTCTCCTCAAGCTCGCACGACTACGGGGGTCTAGGGGTATGCTTTCCTGGGACAATTTTGAAATTTGATTTCCTGCATTCTGAGCGTCGGATTTCCTCCTAAAATTCAATCCTAAAAGTCTTCAACGAACCCGTATTTGGAGAAAAAGTAACGAAAAGTTAAGTTCATGCGCTTAAAATTGCGTATATTTATACAATCCATAGTAATTTTGACACCCACCGTACTAATTTTGAGGTGGGTGGGCCGGGGTGCGTACCACCCTCAAACCCCCTACATTTACGCTTCTGCTGACTTTTGTCCCATTGTCTCAAGAAAAAAATTTCAGTGTATTTAGATTAGGTGTTTATGTTCTACATTCCTTGTTCATCTTATCCTATTTAATATTATGTAATTAGTATTGGGAACACTTAAAATACGCTTACTTATCAGTGCTCGACAACGGGATTTGGGAAGTGTTTGTGATGCTGTCGATTGCACTTAGCTACTTGTAAATTAATATAATCTTCCGTTCGAAATTTCTATACAAAAACCCTTCAACTCCGGCGTTACGAACGAGATGCCCAAAAATCTCGATATATATTTACTCTTAATTTGATGTGTAGTGTTACCAATGTTCTGCATTATGGAATGTCATTATGTCATCAAAAGCGGACAAAATTACGAATGTCATGCATGATCACATATTTCAAACGAACGGTTGCAAATACGATGAAAGTTGGCACACGCTCACAAGAAACAATCGAAACACGCACATATAAGTCAATTCTGGCGTGCTATGTAATATTAGGTTTTTGCACGGGTCTTTAAAGCTTTGAAGAATACAGTGATTATGTCCAATTATTATATGGCTTTTCAAAATTCTCTATTCTGTTTGGTTGACAAGCGGTCCGTAAAAACCCATATCCGGACCGTGGTCCGTATTTTCCGTATCTGGACCGGTGTCCCGGATGTCGTTTATCTGGCGGAAAATTTTTGCTTTGCAAACAGAAAAAACATTTGCTTTTTAATTTTCCAATTGTGCTTTATACCTGTAAAACAAAATTGTTTTTGATTGCGCATGCATGCCTACCGTTTATTTTTCCCCAGTGAAACTGACGACAGCCGATTTAATTCGCGCGAAAAGCATATGCTCACAGACTCAGTTCAGCCATATAATAAACCGATTATTGACCTCGCTTGTTCGGTCTGTACTGTGAAATATCAGACCGTCCTCTGTTTTTTGCATACTAAAAAACCTCGGTCTGATATTTCACAGTACAGACCTCATGCTCGGTCAATAAGCCGTTAATATCACTATACTAATAAACTGTCTAAATATATTAAAGTGAATTATGTAAAAGATACAATACCATATGGAAAGATCAGATTCAACGAAGAATGTAATAAATTGCGTATCTTAAACATTGTAAAACCACATTTGGAGTTTGAAAAGCGTCAGTCAACAGTTACCGCGGCAAGGTTTAAGGTTTCCGCACATAGGTTTCCAGTTGAAGTTGGACGACACACGAATATTAATAATTACTCATAACTTTGTAGGTGACGAATATCATTACCCTTCATGTTCGGTAATAACGATAAGTTAGTAAGTCTTCGAGAAAGAGTTATCAGAAATGAATGGTACATATAGCCATTAGCATAGCTTTAAATCGCTAGGCCCGAGGCTAAGCCGGAAAACGTTGTATTTCTATATTGTAGTATTGTACGTCTATGAATGACGAATGCAAGACAAAATCAATACAGCCAAACGCGTATATAGGCCTAAAACTTAACCAAGATTTTCGCTGCCGGAAAGGGGGGACGCAGGGGGGCATCGCCCCCCTTGCCCTTTAGTAAGGGGGGCATGGGGGGCGAAAGTGCCCTTATAGATAAAAATTCTAACCCAAAAAATATGAGGTACAACGATTAAAAAGTATGAATTACGGGTGAAATGTACGTAATATTGAAATATCCGTGAAATCTTCTGGAATATTGTGTCAAAAATTATGTTTTCAAAATATTTTGCCCTTGTTTTGATGAATTAAGGTCCCAGAAAAAATTTTCGGAAACGAAATATTAATTAGTGATTGCCCTAACGACAACATTGCCCCCCTGTGCCCTGCCCTCACTCCGGCGTCCCTGTATTTAGTTTATTAGGTGAATGTTCCTGTATTACGGTAATGGTGTGATGGAATTAAATATTATTATGCAGAGTTCGTCATCCTGAGTGGGGAGCACACCCGTATACCCATGTTATCCAACATGCCGTCGCATGAATCATGTCTTGTGAGCGTTTGATCAGTTGTGTGTGCCAACTTCCATCGTATTTTTACAACTCGTCGTTTCAAATGTGTGCGTGCGCTCATAAATTTTTCGGCATGACAATTTGGGAAGTATTTAAGAGTGTGTTTCTGCAATTCCTTATCTTATCCAATTTATCCAATTATCTATAGTGCATGATAACCTGAGTATCAGGCTTTACAACTCAACGACTTTGTGGGAACTCTTTTGCCTAGTGCGTTTATTTTTGCCCCATACCTGTCTTTGTCCGCGACAAACTGGGAAGTATTTCGAGTGCACTTTAATTGCTACAACTATTATGCCTGGAGGTTTTT